CTCTCTTACTTCGACTCCTCTCTTACTTCGACTCCTCTCTTACTTCGACTCCTCTCTTACTTCGACTCCTCTCTTACTTCGACCTTTTTAAATCGGATCTTATCTTGTATCCGCATCAACATGAAGCTCCTTGCCGTCCTTCCTCTTCTCCTCACTCTCTCCGCTGCTATCTATATTAAACCTCCTACGGAAGATAAAAACCCGCATCCCGCTTATCCCGATTGGCCTACCCCTCGTGATTTATCTGATCCTACCGGTGGGGTTGTAGACATCAACGCAAGACACACCAATGATTTGTCCGATATTGCTAAAATCTGGAGTGTGTCCACTCGTTGGGCAAAGAATGTCTTGGTCGGGGCACATGCTGCTGCCGGGGGGCCAAGGGGGAGTGGCAGGGATGGAAAGCCATAAAAGAGAGCACGCAAAAGGGGTGAGAAAGGTATGGACTTATAGGATGGATGTAAGAGTGTGTATTGACTTGCTAAGATACTACAGTATATACTAAATTATCTACTAAGAGTTGGAGATCCTTCTACATGAGTGAGCATCTATCGAGCACCCCCATCTCCTTCTTTAATTAGGTAGTAGTCTTAGGAGCTTAAAAATAGCGGCTTAGCATTATAATAATACGCTTATATACTCGGTTGTTCTAGAATTATACGTAGTACACGTGATTTTAACCAATTTCAACTTATAGGCCTTATAATAACACGTAATATACGTAATCTCAACTGATTTCGACTTATAGGCCCGTTATAAATGTGTTCTAAATACTAAGATGCTATTTTTAAGCTCTCGACACTACTGTCTAAAGAAGAAAATATGGGTGCTCGATAGGCTATTTTGGGGTGCTCGATAGATGCTCACCTATATAAGACAGTAGTGGTGTAGCACTGATATCAGGGTGGTGCGGCCGTAGATTAAACTTGTTTGAGACATGCACTACCGAAACATTATGGAAGGCTGTCTATGCTTGTTTGTGTCAGCTGTGCCTCCGTGCACTCCCGTTTCATAATTATGTCGGTCTTAGACCGCTGCGTTGTCATCGCGCCTCCGGTTATGTTTCGAACTTGCGATCGAGCTGGAGGATGGTCACTTCGAAGTTCATCGGCACCTCCAACGGTAATTGAGAGAAGTGGAAGCTATGCACGAACTAATCCGGATGTTTCCAATTTTCAAGGCCCGTGTGCCTTCTACCCCATGATGAGTGAGGACAAGTCTACGGGTATATAAGTCTCTCTAGACACTCCACAAGCTGAGCAACCTTCGCTACACGATCAACCACTATCATCCTTCTCCCGTACTGGTCCCGGGATTCGCTCTCTTACTTCAACCCTTTCAGACCAGATATTGTCTTGCATCCGCATCAACATGAAGCTCCTTACTATCCTTCCTCTTCTCCTCACTCTCTCCGCCGCCCTCTATGTCGATCCGAAGTTCAGAAGCTGCTATGGTGAAAATCGCCCCCTCGACTGCAGATCTGTAGACATCGACGCAGGAAACGCCGATATTGCGAACGCCGATGCTGCGAACGCCAATGCTGTGATCAGTCCTAGGGGCTCGAAAGGCCTCCCAAAGGGCGCCATAAAAGGCATCGTAAAAGGCATCGCGAAGGGAATCGAACTCGGGTGGGACCTTATAAAGAACAATCCCCCGCATCATGATTGAAAACCCCGGAGGGAAAGCAGCCCAGGACGTTTCTTTGCGTCCAACGGGTGAGAACGGCATGGACTTGTGGAATGGACATAAGCAAGTGGATCGACTGTGTATGGAGGAGCTGGGTGTATGTTGGTTTGAGTTCTTGGAGACATTCATACAGTTCACGGAGCAATTTTATATCCTGAAATCACTACGAGGATATCAGAAATAGAAGAATGCATGAATTATGAATTATACAGTCAGACTCCGTTGCCACAAAATTCGTCTGAGTGATGTTTTCGTATGGAGCATTGATATACCATTTCGTGATCTCGGAGATAGAAGAAGCATTGACTGAGATTATACCTGCATCATATCGCGATCGCTTCCATGCCTAAACGGCCCTTCCCATCCGTATATCCATAGTTACATGGGAAAGCTTGGCGCCCGATGTTCGCCCTTGTCACCAACACACACGATTTAGTATGATCGATATTTTTATCTATTACTACCGTATAATACTTATATAGTACTAAATATTACTAAATACTAGTTCTATATAATCCTTATTATATATCTATAGCCTTTATATTACTTTATATTATTTATAATACCTCTAAAACTATAGAAAAAGAGTAGTTATATAGAGATATTCTTACGTCTAGCTAGGTAAATACCCCTATATCTAAAGGCGCTCTAGATAGATATAGGGGAGGTATTAGGGGTCTATAGTACTATATATTAGTTATACTACCTCTTTAATACTATACTATATAGTTATAGATACTATATAAGCGTAGTATAGTAGTAATAGATGAAAATGTCGTTTATACTAAATCGTGCGTGTTAGTGACACGGGCGAACATCGGGCGCCAAGCTTTCCCATGTAACTATGGATGTGGGATTGCCACGTGACTGCGTGTTAAGCCAGGACCTTAGCGCGAATGCGACCCCCGGCCGTCCTCCGCCCGATCTGGAATTCCCCGCCAGATCCAGCAGACCGCTATCAAACACCAAACACGGTCGCCCCAAACCGCCATCTTGGCTTGCTTCTCTCGGTTTGGAAAGCCATTGAGGGCTAACAACTCACTGCCACTGCGACGACTCTCTTCGCAAGCCTTCAAATGTCGTTCGCTATCACGCGTCCCAATCGTCATGAAACTCGCCGACTACAACACCTCGCGGCGCCGTTCGCTCGGCAATTCTTCTGATACACTGCCTTCTCCGTCGACATTCACGAGCTTCAGAGACGCTGGAATCAAGTCAGGTTCCCGTGCCGCGACAGTCCCCGATGGCGCTGCTGGGTTTGGGTTCCACAGCGTTAGTGGGCTCGTGAGAGAGAGGCGACTGAGTCTGGAGGCGAGAGTAGCGGAGGATGTCACGCAGAAGGCAGAGAGCAAGGCGGCCAAGAAACCTGTAAAGTCAAGAGCGCCAAAGGTCGCGAAAGAGCCAGAGAAGTCGGCGGAGAAGAAGGCCCGGCCAGCGAAGAAGACGGTGCTGGCACCGAAGATCGAGATTCCCGATTCTGATGGGGAGAGTGTCATCGAGCTGGATACACCGCCAATCAGTGCGCAGGCTGTCCCGGCTGTGCTACGGGAGCTACGAGATACGGTGGTGCCTGGGCATGCACCGCCGAAGAAGACGCCTGCGCCCAGAAAGCGGAAACGCAAGGCCGATGACGAAGCAACAGACAAGGCTGAGAAGGCGGTTAAGCAGTCACGGATAAAGAAACCGAAAGTCGTTAAGCCGGGAGTTGGGCCAAAGAAGACTGCGAAGGGCACGGGAGATGCTGCAGCACCGACAGCGAAGAAGAAAACAACGGGAAAGGTGTCATCGCATTTCGGCCCGAAGGAAGCAATAGAGAAGTCTGTCACAAGCAAAGCCGGCACGCCCGAGCCGCTCAAATTGGATTTGGAGGGAGCTGTCCAGAGGAGGACAGAGTGGACGCCTGTCAAGAATACTACAAGTAATACAGAACAAGACGATGGGACACATGACGGGCCGATCATTAGCAATACGCAAGAGAAGGTCCAGCATCAGGAGGCTTTTCAGAGCATGGTGGGAAGCTTTGCGTGTGCTCCCCAGATGCCCGAGCTTGCGAATAATACAGATCCTCTTGCGAAAAGTCGCCGGATAGAACTAGTTGCCACATCAAGACCTGAAGTCGCAAAGAGTGCTGCGGAGAGGGTGAAGAAACCGAGACCGTCAAGGAAGAGGCCTACCACAATCACCGACAGAGCTACCGAGCATTATCGCGTGGTAGAACAGCCCCCTGCCCCTGCTCCTCCGTCCGAGAGTCCGTTTTTTGCATCAGCCAAGACCGTGCCGAGGACGGACGACGTGCCGAGGAAAGGGAAGATATCCAAGCCGCGTCAGAAACGCGCTCCTTGCGAGCCGGCCGCTCCTAGGGCCAACGGGAAGCGGAAGAGAGCGGCGTCGCCCAAGAAGAAAGCTACGGTCGTCGTGCCGATGCTCCTCTCACCTGAATCAGCCTTGCGGAAGCTTGACACGCAAGACTTTTTATTCGGGACATCGAGTCAGCTTGCTCAGCCGGAGTCGCCTTCGTTCATTCGAGCATTGCAGATGTCCTTCAACGACTGTACGGGAGTTGTGGACACTGGTGGGTCCGAGCTGTCGGATTCGAGACTGACGTCTGTGCGGGGATCGAGGACGTTGTGGGAGGCAGCGTGGAGAGACGCGGCTATTGGCGACAAGGGCGTGTGGCAGAGGGGCAGCTCGCAGATAGTGTCGCCTGAGGAGGCTGAACTTGGGGAGGAGACCGAGAGTGGTGAGGCGGATCAGCTCGAGGCGTCTGAGCAGCGTCCTGAAGATCCTGTGCAGTCTCGGGGGGCGGTCAACTCAACACCTGTTACTGTTATGATGCCTCCGAAGACAGGGGACACCTCTGACGTGCTAGAGGAGACTGTGGCCACTGAGGCACCGAGACCAGAAACCGCTGCTCCAGCGATACCTCCGCCGCCCAAGGCGACATTCATCTCCCTGATATCGTCCCCAATCCTGACTCCTACGCCTTCGCCGAAACTACGACCTACCGACACGCTGAGCGCAATCTCTCCTCCACTACCACCTACATGGGCAAACGAGCAATCGGTCATCGCCATCACCTCATCGCCTCCCCTGACACTCTCGTCCCCATCAAGCAACGATGACTCTGCCCTACCATCTCCATCGCGCTTCCTCACCCAAGCACCTGCGAAATCGCCGTGCCGCGCAGCAAGACTAGCCCTGAAGTCGCTGACACCCAACTCCCGCATCAGCTTCACGCAGCCGGCGCCCTTCAAAGCATCAGCCGTCCCCACAGCAAGGCCTTTCCACACTACGTTGAGCCCTCAAAATAAGAAGAAGAAGAAGTCCGTCGTTGTCGACGCACTACCCACAACACCGACCAAACGCCCCGTCGGCCGTCCTCGCAGGACAGACGTGTCTGAATCGCCGTCTCCCCCAAAGCGTCCTGTCGGTCGTCCCCGCAAAGACGCAGCAGCCGAGCCTGCAGCAACGGCCCCACCAGTCACCAGTAAACCAAGAAAGTCTCGCAAGACCCCACCATCAGCAACAGCAGCAGCAGACGACACATCATACGTCGACGACGAAATCGAAGACTCGGACCTCGCCGCCCTGCCCCCTTCGCCCCCCGTGCGCCTCTCGCCACCGAAAGCGCGCAAGACGGACAAGAAGAATGGTAAGAGTACGACGAGGGATAGGAACGTGCAGATTGGCCCCTTGAATGCCCTGCAGCTCGAGCTCCAACTCAGCCAAACCCCCGACTGCCCGACTCTACACGCGAATGCAAACGCCGCACAGGTCCGGACTGATGCATTGGCGGATGCTGGTGATGAGGACGACGTCGATGACTGGCCCACGCATCGCGCCCTGCTCTTTCCGCAAATTACGGCGGCGCTGCGCGATGAGGCGGCGTTGGGGGGTGGTGGTAGTGCGGACAAGACGAGACTGTGCTGGCTTGAGCGGATCCTGCTGTATGACCCGGTTGCGCCGGGACAGTTGGCCGGGTGGCTGTGTGGTAGAGGGGTGCGGACTGGGTGGGTTGATAGGAGGGGGAGGGGGACAGGGGGGAGGGGCAAGGGCACGGGTAAAGGGGGGAAGGGGAATGAGAAGGCAAAGGGGATGGGGAAGGGGGACACGGGAAAGGAAAAGGACAAGAAGGGAAAGGATAAGAAGAAGAGGGCGGATGACAACAGCGATGGTAGTGATGACAGCGCAGTCGAGGAGGGAGTGGAGGTGGAGGTGGATGCCAGCAAGCACGGATACCCAGTCGCGGCGTGGCAGGTGTATGAGTATTTGGAGGCGCATGGGGTGTGTTGCGTGTGGGACGAGTCGTTGCGGCGGAAGGTGTAGGTGTCTGTTTGTGTAGGGTAGGTAGGGTGCGGTGTGGTGGTTGTGTGAATATTGGATATTGGATATTGGATAGATGAATGGATTGATGTGCATGATGAGTGTTGTGTATTGAGTATTGAGTATTGAGTGTTGTGTATTGAGCATTGAGCATTGAGTATTGAGTGTTGTGTATTGAGCATTGAGTATTGAGTATTGAGTATTGAGTATTGAGTATTGAGTATTGAGTATTGAGTATTGAGTATTGAGTGTTGTGTATCGAGTATTGAGTGTTGTGTATTGAGCATTGAGTATCGAGTGTTGTGTATTGAGAGTATTGAGCCTTAAGCACAAGAACCGGACGAGCAAAGGGGATAGATATACCGATCGCAGTTTTTTTTTTGTGGCGGATCGTGGAATGGTTGATGTCGTGAATTCGTTTGATGAGCTAGTAGTGTGTGTGTGCATGTGTGTGTGCATGTGTGTGTGCATGTGTGTGTGCATGTGTGTATCTCAGAAACTCCCAGATCAGTATCCATATCCATCCATCCATCCAGCCTTTGTTTACTTGCTCTCTTGCTCTCTCCTCCAAAGTATCCTAAACACCCGTACATACCCATCCCCAAAACACCCTTACATACCCATCCCATACCCATCCCAATCCCATCTTATACCCACTCTCCCCTACCCACTCTCCCCTCAAACCCCTCCTCCCATCCCCGATCCCATCCCCACCCCAGCACCACCACCAGCCTGCACAACAAGCACACTCCCCTTGACCCGTCCGCGCACAGCCCTACTCCCCAACACGCCCAGCGCCCGACTCGCCGCGCCGTCGTCATCCCCTTCATCCTCTACATCTCCCTCCTCTACACCCTCATCCTGTACACCCCCACCAACCCCAAACCGCACCCCCGCATTCCGGCCCAGAACAAGTAAATCCCCAGCATTACGCGGAGCATTACCGAGTTCAAGCGCGGCGCGGGCAAGGGCACGGCGAAGGATCTGAGTTTGAGTTCTGGGTTGGGGTTTGGTGGTGGAGTTGGGGTTGGGTTTGTTGTGTGTGGTGGGGGAGAGTGACAGGGAGAGATCGACGGTGTCGAAGAGGACGCGCGGGAGGACGTGTGCGGGGAGGGCGGACTGGAGGGATTCGAGGTAGGATGTTGCTTTTTCGTCGGGGTTGTTGGGGTTGGTAGCTGGGTTGGTGTTGTTGTTTGTATCTGCGGGGCTTGTGGTGACGGTCGGTGTCTTCGCGGACGGAGACGGAGACAAAGCAGGTACGGGAGAAGAAGGAGTGGTAGAAGGAGCATCGAGCACGACGACCACGCCGCGGAAATGCGTAATCGTCGCCGTGACAGCGGCACAGCGCACGAGCTGCAGGACGAGCGCGCACGCGACGCGATCGTCTGGTGTGCCGAAGAAGGGCAGGAAGATGTGGTGGGATTTATCGAGGATGGGGGCAGCGATTGCCACGGCGGGGGAGGAGCGGGCGCTGTGGATGCTGAGGGAGGTGGGGATGCGGCGGAGTTGGGAGGATGGTGGTGGTGCTGCTGTCGCTCCGGGGGTTGCGGTGGTAGGGAGTTGGGATTTCTTCGACCTAGTCTTCACGCCGCCGAAGTTGCGATTGACGAATACGGCCACGGGGCAGGGAGCATGGGCGAGCATGTCGAGGACAAAGGCGGCGTAGGCGGGACAATCGAGCTTGTCGCGGGCGGCGGCACCGGGGATGACGGCGTGGTCCTGGGCGAGGGCGCCGGTTTCGGACCAGGGGAGGAGGACCATGTCGGATTCGAGATCGGCGGCTTTTGTGGCGAGGGCGTCGGCGAAGGAGGATTCGGGGAGGACGGAGACTTCGCCGGAGACGGCGACGCTGTTGAGTTGGCCGAAGGTGCGGAAGGTGTTGACGATGGGGTCGGTGGTGGTGGGGGTGGAGGCGGAGGGGGGTTCGGAGACTTGCATTGCGGCGGAGGTGCGTTCTGTGAGGGCGAGCATGCGGAGGCCGTGGGCTTGGACGGGGCGGTGTTTGGAGAGGTGGGAGTTGTTGTTGTTGTCGTCGTCGGCGGTTGGGTCTCTGCGGGATGGGTGGATGCGTGGGGTTGCGGGCTGGGCGTCGGCGCCGAGAAGGGAGATGAAGGCGAGGAGCATGGGCATGTTGTCGATGCGGAGGTAGACGAGGAGTTTTTGGACTTTGTTGCTGGTGTTTTCGTTGCTGTGCTGTGTCTTCTCGAGGTTGATGCTGTTGCCGCTGCTGTCGTCGTCGGCGGCGTGGGCAAGGCCGGTGTCCCAGTCGATTTCGCCGCGGCGCCAGGCTTCCATCTTCTTCTGGTAGGACGGGGGGTAGAGGAAGGACGTCAGGGGCGTGGTGGCGAAGGTGGTGACAAGCGCCATAACCACAAAGATCGTAAACGTGCGTTGGCTCAGGATATTGGCGTTCAGTCCGATATTCAGCACAATCAGCTCGACCAGGCCCTTGCAACTCATCAGAGACCCAATCGTGAAGCTCTCGCGCCAGTACAACCCGTTCGCACGCGCCGCAACAGCCGCACCGATAAACTTGGCCACAAAGGCAATGAGGATGACGGCCACGACGTAGCCCCACGTAATGCCATTGTCCAGCAGTCCCAGGTTCGTGTTCAGGCCGGACAGCGCAAAGTACAGCGGCAGCAGCAGCGCCGAGACCAGATCCTCAATCTTCTCCGTGACTTTGATCGCGAAGCCGCCCTCGTGCGGGCATATGATGCCGGCCACAAACGCACCGAAGATGGCGTGCACACCGATGATGCCCGTGAAGAAGGCCGAGCCAAGCGCAATCAGGAGCGTCAAGGCGATGATGCCCTGCGAAGGGCCGTTCTCGAGCGTGCCCGTTCGGCGGAGGACGTGCATAAAGGCCGGGCGGACGGCATAGCACATGAAGAGCACGTAGCCGACGCACGTCAGGAGAATCCACAGAGCAGTGAGCCCGTTTCCAGCATTGACCAGCGCGACACAGAGCGCAAGAAGCACCCAGCCTGGACAGTGTTAGAACAAGCGTGTGCTGGATGTGTATATATAAAGGGGGGGCATCTTACCGACAACGTCATTCCCAACACCAGCCGACAGCACAATGATACCGACAGGCGTGTGTATAAGCTTGAGCTCGACGAGAATTCGACACAGGACAGGAAACGCCTGAGTCTATCAGCACATCGACGCTCCAGTCGCCAGACACATCAGCAACTCACAGTAATAGCCATGGCAACACCGATAAAAAGCACATACGTCCCAAACGCAACCGGATGCGTGCCCGGCTCATCCCGAAACTCATGATACAAGCCATACGCGACCGCACAGCCCAGGCCAAACGGGAGCGCCATGCCCGCCAACCCCACACTCAGAGCAACCTTCCAGTTGTCCTTGAGATGGCGCAGATTGACCTCCAGCCCAACTAGAAACAAGAAAAGCGTGAGACCGAGATTAGCCACCAGATTCAAATTGGGCGCCGCATCAGCGGGGAAGATGGTGGTGGTAAAGTGCGGGATGCGGCCCATGACGGAGGGCCCGAGCAGGATGCCCCCAATGACCTCTGCAATCACGCGCGGCTGGCGGATCTTGGAGAGCGGCCAGTGCAGGACGCGGCAGAAGCACAGGATGATGAAGGCCTGGGAGACATGATGTTAGTCGGGGCGGTTTCTGGCCGTCATAAAAGGGCGAGAGGAGTGTTAACCTACCTGGATGATGAACAGGATGATGGGATTCTTCTTGTCGTAATGCGCCGGATTGACGCCCTCCAGCACACCACCCTGCGGCGGAGCTCTATCGCCAGTGCCGGTGGATGAGGGCGAGGGGGATAGAGTGACGAGCTGGGTCACGGTCGCGAGGACGGTGACAGGGCTTGGAGTAGCCATGGCGAGCGAGGATGAGGATATATCTCTCACTCAGTCTATCACCAACACACACACACACACACTATCTCTCTCGCTGCCACAGTCCACGACAGAACGTGTGTATGCGTATAAGTAGCGATCAGCAGCACAACAGCGGCACAGCAGTCCAGCAGTCCAGCAGGTCAAAAGTGAAAGCCAGAAAGCCCCCCTCAGGCAACCAGCAGCGTCGTCGTCGTCGTCGTCGTCGTCGTCGTCGAGGAAGACAAGGAGGAGGAGGAAGAAGAGCAGGAAGACAAAAGGCAACAAAGTAGAAGAAATCTAGACGAGGACGTCAGAAGAAAAGCTACTTATCTATAAAAAATCCCAACCCAATCTCATCCATCCATCCCGCCCATCCAACCCAAATCTCTAGTCACTAGTGTTCCTCACAAATGGAACAAATCCGCAGCCTCAGGCATCCAAACATGACCGCGTGGATAGCGCATTGACCCTCGTCCCGTCTGGGCAGGCGCGCTAGCTGGGTCTGGGCCGCTTGCATGAAACGACCTGGGGGGGCTGTTATGTCGTTTACGTTGTTAGGAAAATCTGGGGGAGGCTGGGGAGTTCGGGGCTGTTCCGGGCGGTTTTGACGCATGTGGGGTGCGCATCCGTCAGCACGAAGACCGTATTCCACCGGCCTGGCCTGGTCTGCATATATGGTTATCGAATCCTGTCACGGGATCACAACGAGGCTCCCCCCTCGTTCAACCACCCCCTTGGCTGGGCGGAGGAGGCGGTCGTCAGCTGCACAGATTGTCACATCTCATCCATGCTTTTCGGTTTTGGGGTTTTGGGGACCACATGACCGCGTGAGCTGGGGGTTGGAGGCGGTGAGGTGTCTGTGTGTGTGTGTCTCACGAGGCTCGCCATTCTTTTGTAGACGAGAGGGTTTGTTTGCCGGTAATGAACGGTCGGTCCATTTCACTCATGGAACAACAGAATGGAACCGGGCTCGTGGGTTTGTTGGTTGGTACTAGTATACTGCTGACTGGACACTAATGCACTCTTGGCGGCGGCGGCGTGGAAGGGTGTCGGTGTGTGTGTGTGTGTGTGCTTATGCGTGGGCTAGTGCTTGTGCTTGTGCAGCATGGATGCGTGGCATATGCCTTGTTTGGCTACTGCATATATATCTTCTGTAGATAGATGTGTGGATGTGGTCAGATCCCGACATAACGATACGGATACAGTAGGTATGTAGATGGATAGAACAACTGTTCTGAACTGGTTTGAGACATGTAGCCATATAGCATACTATATATATATATATATATATATCCACTCGCTACACGTGCTTGCTCTTGGCATTCTCCTCTCAGCCTTCAAGTGAGCTGCTGCTACCTATGGGCTGTATAGTATATGTTATATAAATACCCCTTCCTTCTGTGTCGTGTATTCCTTCCTATTCTCCTCGGCTTTTCTCCTTCTTGGAGGGCCGTTTACCGGCTTGTCGCTTCGTGGTTGTAGTCGTAGTGGTGGAGGTAGTAGTATCGACTTGGCTGTGGTAGTCTGTCCCTATCTGTCCTTGACGCGACGACGGGCTTTCTGCCTTGTCTGGTTGTGTGTCCTGCGGTACAGTATACGTAGAGGTAGAGACTGGCCCGCTGTGCTTGAAGTCTGTAGTCGCCGTATAAAGGATGTCCCAGGGTGTCAACGACGTACTTACCAAAAGGCCTTCTTCCATAGTCTCTCATCCAGTCTTTCAGATTCCACTCGAGCACATAGTGCATCGTCTCCGCTCGTCGAGACATCATGCCCCTTCCCCTGCCATCACAGGCACGCACCCACACATCAACGCCATCAACAGCATCACGTCCAGCCATACATATCGCGCAACACGCCCTCAACCCACGAATTCACCGTCGCCGTCGACGCCGCCGTAACCGGGCCCTGCAAATCCGCATTCACCACATACGGCGCCCAATTCGTCTTCGCCGCCACCGGCCGACTACGGCCCTCCTTGCCCGCCCGCTCAACGGCCTTCCGCCACCCATCCTCGAGCCATTTCTGATGCTCGGCATGCAGCTCCGCATAGCGGAGATCCGGCTTCTCCACCCGTACGGCGTTGTGCGACGAGATGTGCGTGCTGACGCCCGGGTCGGAGGTTGCGTTTGCGAGCAAAGGGTGGGCCCAGATGGGCTTCTTGTCCTTGCTGCTGCTCTTGAACAGGTTGCCGACGAAGCCGCCTGCGTTGTTGGCTGTGCGGATGGCTTCGCAGTACCAGCAGATGCACTCGGAGTAGGGCTCTGCAAAGGCGGCTTCGTATTTCTTGCATGTCTGGGCAAAGGCTTGGGAGAGGTATGCTTCGGGGATCTTGTCGCAGTGGTCGATGAGGCGGCCGACGGTCTGCAGGGAGAAGTTGTAGTACTGGGCTGGGCTGAGGAGGTGTGTGTGCCAGGCCAGGTCGACGTCTGTGGTCGGGACGGCGAGGAGGGATGAGCTGGAGAGAAGGGAGGCCTTGGAGTGGAGGGTGAAGAAGCGACGGTACTTCTCGATCAGGCGTGGGGCGAAGAGAGGTAGTTGAGTCGAGCGCCACCAGCCTAGGTTCTCCATCTTCTGCGAGAAGACGCCGTTGCGGATCGTCGCCGTGACGAGATCGAGTGTGAATGGTGACGAGTTGTCCAGGTAGTAGCGGAGTGTCTTGCGCACTGCCAACCCTTCCTTCTCGTCCATGCCCGAGTTCCACTGGCCTCCCTTGTAGTTGACGGAGATGTTGTGGCCGCCCATCTGGGCGTAATTCAGATGTTTTGGCGACTTCGAGAGCGACGTCTGCACATCCTGCAACAAAGCCTCCATGGTGAATCTGAAGTTTGGCTTGCCCGTCCGACGAGCACCACTGCCATCGATATTTGCAATGGCATCCATCAGTCGAATAGGGAAGAAGCCCTCCCCATCAGCAATCCCATTAATCATCCCGGCGGTCCGAGGAGTCCCTTGCTTGCCGAACAGTACCCCGGGCGGAGGTCGGAGATGATGCACGTTTCCGACCATAAACTTGTCCGTCATGTTGTTGGGCCTGTGGAACTGAACGATGTCGTAGACCAGTTTCTGCGCCCGCAACGTATCCTGAGTGTTGTGATTCTTGCAATTCGAACAAATCACCAAGTACCCGGCATCCGCCCAGCCGGCCGCCTTCCAGCAGATTGCATCAATATCGGTGATGATGGGGTGCCTGTAGTTGACCTTCATCTGCAGCTGCTGTTGTTCTGTCGCCAGCAAACTGCCAAAATTCGAGGCGTGTATCTGCCGAACGTGATAGTTTGGAGGCCAGCCGTTGTATGCACAGGACGGGCAGCCAAGCGGCTTGATGCCCGTCTCGTGCGTGTTGACCCACGCGCGTCCAGTCATGCTCAAGAAGCTTGCTGCTGCTGTTGGACCCGGATCGTAGATGCCAGTCCGAGTGTCGATGGCCTGGTCGATTGCCATCCACGGGAATCCGCCGTGCCAAAGACCCATCATGCCCTGCAGCAGACAGTCCTCGAGGTATCGCTGCGGACTCAACATGAAGGTGTGCCAGACCATGAGCACGTCGAGCGGTGGAAGACGTTCCTTGGTGAGAATGGTGGTTCTCGACAAGCCACGCTGCAGGAGATTGATGTCCTTGGTGTTCAGATCGCCACACGTCACGGGCTGGTCGTAGATTGACTGCTTCATGGCCTCCCACCACGCCGTGAACCGATCGACGGCCCTGCACACGAAGATGGCCCATCGTTTCTCGCGGATGCGGTTCGTCGCTTTGTGCACGTCTTCGGTGAACAGTGGTCCTGAGGCCGGCAGCCAGCTATCGTTGATGTCGAAGATGCCAGACCTAAAGTATATCTCGGACTTTAGTGCTCCAAAGGTATGCCCAAGACGCAGATTCGTCGCTAACTGGGACTGGTTGGGGAGTAATGCCGTCGGACTTGTCCCGACAGGCTGCGCGACTGACGCCGGGATATGGGGCGTGTATCCTCCATGACTTGGAGCCTGGGCCAGTATGCTGTGAACAGACGGTGGTCTATGTCCATGCGGTGCCAGCGGAGGTGTATAGAGAGAGCTGTGTCCCGAGTTGGCACTCTGTATCGACGCGCGGTGGTGCTGACTCTGAGGTTGAGGTTGAGCAACAAACTCCTTCTCTGGCTGATTTGGCTGAATCGCCACAGCCGGTTGCTGACTCCATTGACTCCAATGCTTCTGATCCGAGCTCTGTTGCTTCGGCTCGTTCACGACCGGCACAGGAGACGTGCCATTGCTTGTCGGTCGCTTGTAGTCCTGCGACGACTGTACGCCGCCGCCAGTCTGAGGTTGAGCTTGAGATTGAGGTGGAGGAGGAGGAGGGGCAGACCCAGTCACGGCGATTTTCTCGGAACTTATTTCCTGGAGCGGTGCGCTCCAGGCACTCCAGTTTTCCATCTTCGACGACTTGTACACACACACACTCACACACACACTCGCAAAGCCAGCGCCGGCTAGTAGGACATCGTGCCCCGAACAAACTCTATGCGAAACTTGCTTTCAGGTCTATGGGGGGTGGGTGACGGACAACGCTCCTGGGGGACGGACGACCAAGAAAGGAAGACTTGCTCGGGCAGCTGAAAGTTATGTAGGAGGCGTGTCAAGTGATTAGGCTTTCGGGCAAGCCACAGGCGGCAGGGAAGCGCGGGGGGGGGGGGGGGGGGAAGATGTTTGTTCTGATCAACCGGATTGACGTAAATGCTGCTGCTGATGCTGCTGCTCGGTGTTCCAATGCAGGCCTCTTAGACGAACAACACACACAACGCTCAGCCTCTCTCGATACGAAGGAAGCGCCAAACTTGTCCGGCCCAGGGCAAGGCAGACTCTTCACTCCTCACCGATAGAGAGGGGCCAAGACGTTATTACCGCGTCCATCTCTCTATAGAGTCGTTTATCATATGCTCACAGCTTCTGGAAGTTAGCCATACACTGTTTTGTCAACTCCTCTGTCTGGAGATACCTATATAGCGAGTGCTATATGGCCGCAATTGAGCGATTCTCCACTCCTCCTAGCGATCTTAGGGCGCTACTATTTTTGTCCGTCAAGGGTCATCCCGGTCGACTTACGTAGGTAGTAGCATCACGCTGCATGCAATCAAGCAATTCACAAACAAAAACAAACCCATGATCCCTAATAATGCCCATTTCTTCAGTTCAGATCCGGACCAACGTTGATATTCGTACAATATAGACAACGAATATATAAAAAACCATCATCTCCTCCCCACATTTTGTCTCCACGTCACCAGCCCAATGAACCCCAAAACCGTCGTGGTATCCGAGCGCATTATCAAAAAAGAAAAGATCGTTCACTCGTGAGATTTTACGAATGTAAAAACATGCCCACACCCCCTCAAATCGCTACCGTCCCCATCACCACCACCACTACCACCACCAAGCCGCTCAAGCATGCGACCTAAACGGCTCATACGCATTATTTCCGCCCTTGTAGGCCCCACCAGGACCCATCTGCCCCAGCGGAACAGCACCACCGGCATGGTGGTGGTCGTGCAGCGGCTCATACGTGTACGGCGTGCGCTGGGCAAACGTCGTCTTCTTGTGCTTGGGGTCGCTCTTGCCGGAGCAGCAGCACGTCGAGATGAGCCAGAAGAAGCCGGCGCCGACGTTGAAGGCGACGGCCAGCCAGACGATGGCGAGCATCTTGGTCGACATGGAGGCGTGGATGTGGTAGGGCTTGAGGGAGGTGTTGACGATGCCGGTGAAGGTGGCGAAGAGCGCGGTCGAGGTTATTGCGGCGGCGGTGACGAAGATGCCGGCGGCCTGGTTTGGCGGTTAGCTGTATGGCCTTGATTCAGAAGGGTATGGGTGAATAACGTACGGTTGACACAATGGTCGTGCACAGGCTGCCCCACCGCGAGAAGATGGCCAGAATACCCACCACAATCTCCGCGACAGTCACCCAAAAGGCCACAGTATAGCAGGCAAACATGAACTTTGCGACCTTCTCGTACACCTTCAGGCCGTCGTCGAGCGCCTTCGGGAAGTGGTCGGCCAGCGCGGCGCCGTCCATGCCCCACACCTCCTTGACGTTGAACCAGTACGCCGCCTGGCGGGACGAGCAGTGGTCGATCGTCTTATCGCCCGATTTGTCGTCTGCCGTGCCATCGCAGTAGTTCCAGATGTAGATGTTGTAAAAGTCCTTCAGGTCGCCCTTTGCAAACGAGCTCTTGAACATGTCGAGGAACTGGTCGTCGATGTCGGTGAAGTCGACGGCGCTGAGATCGGGGTTCGCGGTGAAGTTTGAGGCGTCTAGCTGCATGAAATACAGGCTTCCTAGGGCGTTGGACTTGCTCTGCGTGTCGCCTTTGTTAGTCGTCGTCTCTCGCGAAACGCATATTTAGTTGTGAGAGGGGGGGAATTGACGCACCAGTCCACCCAGAAAGACGAGCAACAGACACAGCAACGAAGCTATGGTGAGGCCCATGGGCACAAAAATGCACGCGAAACGGCCTGCTTTCCCCATTCTGACCGATCGTCTTGACTGTCTGTTCGATAAAACCAAAGTCCGGATCGTAGCTATGCCAAAAGTGAGGCCAAAGTCACACCACAGCCCGCAAGGCTATCCAATTCCGAAACGGCTGAAGACTCAATCAATCGACCAGGAAGCGAGAGTGTGATCAATCGACGACGACGATGCCAAAACAACAATAACGAGTGAGTCGCTCAGAAAGAAGAACCCTCTTTGGATGAATGGATGGAAAGGCAAGTCAACGCAAGGCAGAGGAACGAGGACAGACAGACAGTCAGTCAGTCCATGACATTGCTTTATGTAAAGTATGTACGCGAGGCCCCCACAAGAAACACGCGCAGCTCAAAAAGCATTGGGCAGTTTCTCAGCCCGCAGACCCGCAGATTAGCATGGCCAAGGGTGCTGACTGCGCCCCTAACAAACGCCCCCAAATCCGCCTGGACTGGTATGGCTGGGCTGGGCTGTGTGGTGGTAGCAAGTCAAGTCAATCCATCGCTCACTGCCTTACTACTGTAGACACTCTCGAGAGTCATCATCATAACCATCAACATCAATATTCACTCAGTCCATGGACATATACACATACATATCTAATCCATAACCATCTCATCACCATCACAAGTCGATCTACAGTTCCACATCTCCTCCCCAAAACCCCCAAAAAGACGTATCAAACCCCCAAGGCTGGCTATCTGTCTATGCCCTCCACAGACAGACACACACCTTGGGGGCCGTATTTTACTTGAATCTACTTATAATCTACTACCTGAATCTACTTTGCCGTTTCCGTGCCCATGTCCGTACGCCATCTTCCGTTCTGCCGTCTGCTGGATGCCGTCTGCTGTATTATTCATCCGTCCTATAATACTAGACTGTCAACAGGAATATAGTTCAATTAAGCACGCACTTCGTCACGACCATAGACATCCACGCACAAGCACCACGAGTAAGCAAGCAAACAAGTCTTGCCTTGCCTCGACCTACCTCCCCTTACCTCGCCGTGCCTTGTCCTACCTTACCTTGCCATATGCGCGTATCGCCATGCCAGACCATACCATACCATACCGTGGCGTCGCGCGTCCCCATTCTGCCCCAACCCCAAACCATCACCCGGCCCGACGTTTCTATTTATAAGCATTCAATTACTCGAGGTCACGGGGAGCAACACACATAGAACAGTACACATAGAACAGCACACATAGAACAGCACACATAGAACCGCACACATAGAACAGCACACATAGAACAGCACACATAGAACAGCACGCGTAGAACAACAGTACACATAGAACAGTAGAACAACAGCACACATAGGACATAATAAAAGCCCATCTAAAAAACCCGTCTAGAAAGCTATCTCAAAAAAACACTCCTAAGAGAAAGACATATATCATACTATTATACTATACTCCTATACCACGCTGTACTATACACTGTTCCTGCCTTACTATGCCCTGCCCTACGCTACGTTCTACGTTCTACGTCCTATTCTACGTCCTACGTCCTACGTTCTACGTCCTACGTCCTACGCCCCACGTTCTACACAAAGTCACAAACTACCTTGCCTAGTCTAATTCGCCCTACTGCTGCGCCACTACCACTGTCCACTACCCACTAACTCACTACCCACTAACTCACTACCCACTAACTCACTACTCAAAGCCACAGCCACAGCCACAGCCACAGGGCACCACCCTCGGCAGTTACATTCTACATTCTACCTGGTCTGTGTGTATGTGCTCTTTCTCCCGACTGCTCCATTCTATTTTTAGCCTCCTCTAGTCTCCCCTGAGCCCAAGTTGCCAACTCTACCTACTAGTCCTTTTCCGCTCGCTTAGTCACACACACACACACACACACATACATACACACAAGGCACAAGGCCTGAGGCACGCAGACAATAGATACAATTCACAAAAGACATTCATTCATGCTTTGATAGTTCGTATTCGCATCCTTCCATTCATGCAATTCAATGCCATCCATCCACCCTACAGTCCAGTCCCTCTCTCTCTCTCTCATCATCTCAGCCTGACAAAAACTCGAGTGACTGTACATCTCATCTATTCACACACACACACACACACATCCATCTCCCCAATCACCATTCTTTCTATCCACCACACAATCATATGCCTGCCCGACCAGATTATCTAGACAAACTTTTCTTTTCCCTTTCAGAACCTGTCATCCATCCATCCATCCATCCATCCATCCATCCATCAATAAATCATGGTATGAGGGCCCATTATCGGAATATTCCTCAACCCTATCCCTATCCCTATCCCTAACCTTAACAAAAAAACAAGAAAATGGATTGGCAAAGATCCATAAAGATGTGATAGAATCGAATCGAATAGAATAGAAACGTGGCGTCGAACCAGACAAAACAAAGAAGCAAACCATGCAGGTTCCATTCGTCCCTCCTTGCGCCAAAACCCCCCCAAAAAGACACCTCGCGCCAATGTTGCGAGAGACTGGCGATGATGATGGTAGCGATCATGACAATGATGATATGATGATGGTTTGATGTATGAGATCGGGCGACTCGAAGCCAGAGCGCCCATGTGTCGACAACAAATGGAAGAGGGGAGCGATAGGATACGATGATGATGATGACGATGATGATGAGCAATCAGAACACAGTAGTGAGTCTGAAGACTGGCTCGCTGCATGTCATGGTATAAAGAGTAAGGATGAGCAACATAAGAAATTAGTTCGAGGCCCCAACGTCATTCGGAATGAGTAATCGAGGAGGGTGTACGATCATGTAGACAATGCCGGACGCCGAGCTGATGATGCATGTGCGGTCTGAGACGGTCTCGAGGCTCGCCTGAGTGCGGAGCGTACAAATACAAAGTATCATGAGACGGAGCCGCCCTGTCCGGGCCCAATCTCATCGTCCAGGCCTCTGGGTGGGGTGGTCAGAGACGTCTCAATAGCGACCTCATGGTGAGTGCTGCGACTCTTACTCACGGGCGTAGCCGTGCCTTCAGCATGTCTCTTTAATCGAGCAAGTCTACGCTTGCAAGATGCGGTGTAAAGTATGTTTCTGATACCAAGCCCGAACATCACCGGTGTCCTTGGTCGTGTTGGTGGTGCTGGTTAGGGTTGCCTCGGCCTTGCGCTCGAGAGCGGACCCATTCCTGTTTCTGTCTGCTCTCGGCTGCCTTCTGAGCGTCGGCATCGCTCCTGGTAACTTGGGGTATCCGGCCTGAGACAATGTCGGCTGGTTTCAGCTTGATAATCTCCGAGGCGATGGCGTGGATAACATAGTGGCGCAGCTCGCGGTTCTCCCTCATGTCTTCGCCTTCGAGACGGAACTTGTCTTGCTTGGTCATCTTCCCGCGACGGATCGCTCGGATCTCGTCCATGATGTGCAGTACGACGGACTCGGGGGCCGCGTTGCGGTCTGCGGCGTGAGTCTGTGGATTCCGGACATAGCGCCTAGTGACGTCCATGGCACCTTCCGCCGAGAACGCTATACAGTAGGCTAGTTTTCTACCCCAGCCTGATATGCAAGTCAGTGGCGGCGACAGACGATGCGGACCAAGTCATAATACATACCTAGAGTGTAGAGCAACGGCTTGTCCCAAACCTCCTCACAAACATCAACGTGTATCCATCGCTTACGGTGCACGGAGTAGACTTCGGTCCAGACGTGGTCTTCACTGTTCCACACCCAACGAACTTTGGAGCCGACAGCCCGGCAGAGCATCGAGAAGCAGTTGGTCCACTCGCCTACGCGGCCTCGTCGTTCTTGCAAAAGGACGAATGCATCGTTGTATCGCGGGAAGCGTTCGTAGTGCTTGCAGACCTCGTTGATGCATTGATAGAGCTCGACCTGGTTGGCGCCGCGGGCCTGTTCGTCGGGAATGGGCGCAGCCATGCCAATGGCGATTGATGGAGACATGCACTTCGAGCAAGGCGGGTTGTTGACGTAGGTAAAGAACGATCGCTTGAACCACCGGAGCAGCGCTCGAACAACACAGTCTTGATAACCCCACATGGCCTTCTTGCCGCCACCTAAGCTCTCGGCCTCTGCTCGTAGAATCTGGCTTTCCTCCTCTGCTTCATTGTATATTTGTTCCAGCGGCACTGCGCGCAATGCTTCGTCGAGCAGACCAGGGTTCTCCCAGCGCCGTGGTACGTCGGATAGGGATAGTAGTTTATTGCGAAAGCGCAGCGATTTCGGATCTGAAGGCGGTGTTGGTACGAGAGGTATGTTTCGAAGTGAAGAGTAAGACGGAGGTTGTTGTTGTTGTTGCTGTTGTTGCGCGGAGCCGCTGTGCAGTGATCTCCGATAATCAGTCGGTCCTGGAGAACCAGAGCGTGATATTTGGGCCGTCGAGCGAGTCGTCAGGTCGTTCATCCTCCGCGTGCTCAGCAGCTGTCTGAACTGCTCCGTCATGGACTTTGCCCATTGCGAGCCGTAGCCGGCGTCGAGGTCAAGGTCGGCAGCCTCGTGCCGTGAGGAGCTCGCCATGGTGCGCAGGCGTGATCTAATGTGTGAATAGCCAGCCACAATGGATGCGAGTATGGGTGGATTGGTTTCTTGCAAAGAAACTGGCGGGGCGTCGCAGTCTTAATGGCGGGTTGGTCGAATGTCGTAGCCTGCGGATTGTTCTTTTGCACAGCCCGGGTAACGAATCCGCCACGGGCGCGCGGCCAGTGCACGCGAACTACTGGGACGTGAGGGACGAGAAGGCTGGGGTGATGCAGGTCGAGTGAGTAGTAGTCGGATCGCAAGGCAGCGACGGCGAGGTAGGTAGGTAGGATGTCGAGGGGGACTCGGTGGAGGATACGGGACGAATGGAGCAGAGAAAGTGGTGTAGTAGTGGGAGGGAAGAGAAGGGTAAATGGGCGATGAGGGACGACGAAGAGACGACGACGCAGACGGTTTGGCGTGGATGCGCAATCCACCCAGAGCTGACGACGACTGCTTAGCGTGCCTGCCGTGATTGGCCAACGACCACACCAAGAGGTGCTGTCGTAACTCACGTTCTGGATCTGCACGCGAAACGACGACGACGATGATGTCCAGATGCCGCGAGTCCAGCAGATGAAGGGAAGTGATGAAGATTCGATGGTGGTGGTGGTGGTGGTGGTGGTAATGCTCTTGTATCAATCACCATCTGCTTCGTTCTATGGACCAAGAGACTACGACTACTTACTTCATGATCGCTACACACACCACGCAGTCAGCAACGCAGACGATCATTGCTCCCTCCTCACCCCGTCAAGCAAAACGCAAGACATTCGCACAGGGCTCATCAGTTACTTACTGTAATTACATGGCACGCACACGTATTATTCTTAGTCTCGCCGGCAAAGGGGCCGTCCGCTGCCCTTTCTTTAGACACCACACCCCCGACACAAGACACACTCTGGCCTTGGCTTCTTCTTCCATTGCGCGGCGGACTTGCTTGTTGTCTTTGTCTTCTCTCTCTGCGTATCGCCTTTCGCAAGCACTCTCCTCTCCATCCAGGATAGCCCTTGAACCATCCATCCATCTACCCAAGCGCAAGAAAGACACTGTTCCATTCCGGACAGAACAAGAAGCTGTGGAAATTTAACATATGCTGATGAGCCCATCCCATCTGCCATGTCGCAGAGTGCACCCGCACCGTAGACGTTTGATCTCGACGTTGACAGTGACAGTGACGGAACATACACCCAGTAATCACCTCGACTCTAACACCTCCTGCAATCCACCAAGCGTAAGTAATCCAAATACGATGATACGAGAACCACTCGAAACCGACGCGCAAACCCGCCCACAACCTCAGGCAGCAATACCAATCCCCAAAGGGTCCACCACGTGACACGTCCTCCCATCACTCACCCAGTCTGGACCCTCAAGCCGCGTATCTCGCCCAATACAGTCTAGCGGCTACGCTGGGACCCCCCCCCCTTCTGTCTTGCATACGCGCGTCCCGACGTGCTGGATTGAACCCTGAGAACTGCTTGTAATCACAATGTACAAGTGTACACGTACATACATACATTCCCATATACACGCATGTAACGTACATGTACATACCCATAGAACACGCAAGTAGCACCAGACACGCACGTGCGACTTCTCACAAAGAACCTAATCCTTCAGTGGCGAGAGAGAGAGGAAGGAGGTGTGTGGTTTGATTAATTACCTCCTGGATAGGATCTGCTGGAAAATGTCACTGTCTACTGCACTCACTCACCCACACGTCAGTTCTCCACCCCACTGAGTATTACGTATGGTGTATGGTACGCGTTTCGCGCCACGGGTACGTACCCGCTATGCTATCGTGCAGTGCGGTGCACGCTCTGTTGATACTTCGTATGTGGTATATCACCTATCAATCAATCAATCAATCAATCACCCAATAGCGAATCAGGATTTCCGGCTGTTTCTGCGTCTGGCATGCTCGGTTTAGGGGCCCACTGACCTGTGGAGTTGGGGGCAGGGGGGGTGACTTGAACAGAGACAGAGACATACAGACACAGACACATTACATGGAATGGTCTATTGCCTCAGATCCAAAAACCCATACTCGAACATAAGACATCCATTCCAACTTCCATACATTTCTTTTCAGCGCAAATCCTCTCTGTCCATCCATACGCAGAAACCCCCCCACCCGAACAGTAGATATATATCAAAGTTCTCCGCAGGAAAGTATGAAAAAAGACGCCGCCGAATGCCCAACGCCATCGCTGATGATGCTCATGGTATGGTGTGGTAGGGTAGAGGTAGGGTGTAGGGTAGAGATACGAAACAAAAGACTTGCGCTTGCTTCTTACTTGTCGCGCTCGTTGGGCCCGACGAACCTAGGCGGCAAGTCCAAGTCCCAGAACGGGCGTTCGACGAGGACGACCTCGAGGCGTGCAGGCCGGGTGGATGCGTCTCCATTTGCTGCGTGGGTCTGGCCATGGTTGTCGTTGTTTTTGTTATTGTCGATAGCAGCCACGCCCAGGATAGGGCGGTACTTGAGCGTATACCAGTAACGAGGGCCTCGGCCTCGACTCTTCGACACCAACTCCGTTGTCGTCGTCGTCGTCGTCGTCCCGCCATTGCCATTCGGGCCATCTTCCTCGGTGTCTCGCTGCAATGGCGGCAATGCCAAGACGTCGTCGTCATCGTCGTCATCGTCGTCACGTTCCTGCTTGTTCCGCTTCCTTTCGATCCATTCCACCGTCTGGCCCGTGCCGTTCGCCGTGATCTTCCGAATCTTTCGCCCGACGCCTTCCTGCTCTCGCCCCTTGACCACATCGCCGGCACCGGTAGACTCCTTTTGCTGCTCCAGCACTTCGTGAAAGTCTCGTTTCTTGCCGGCCACGGCATCGCCGCTGCTCGACACAAAGTCCTGGGAGAGGTCGAACATGAACAGCCAGTTGCTGCCGTAGAGCCACAGCCGGTCTTTGCCCTCGGTGGTGTCCCAGAAACACCCCTTGGCCAGATCCTTCAGAGCGCGGAATTCTTCCGGCAGGTTGGACGAAGGGTTGCGTTTCGTCCAGCTCGTCATTTCGTTTTTCAGCACGTCAAACTCGTAGAATCGGTGTCTTGCTGTCACCACGAAAAGGCGATGCTCCCCGCGAGGTAGGTCGTGTGATTTTACATGTGGGGTATGACGCGTGGGATGAAGTCCGGGATTGCCATTAGGCTCGACTTGGTGCTCTGGAGATGAGGGCCGGAAGGATAGAATGAGCGGTGAGGAGTCGAGTCTGGGAAGAGCCCTGGCATCCGGAATCCAATGCTGCCCTTTGATGACGGCCATCTGATCTTCGTCGTCGTCATCGGGGTCGTCGCTGCTCTCGTCATCATCTGACGAGGTATGCTTGGCGGGCTTTGAGAGGTCCAGCTCAGGAGCAGTAGAGTCCTCGTGCCCTTCTAGGACCCAACTATTTATACGACCCCCGAGGTCGGCAACCGCAAGTATTCTGCTGTCGGAGGAGAAGGCTGCCTGTACCACTGTGGCATCGTAACGGCCCCAGGCTCCGTTCAAGCCATCGGTGTGCCCTCTCTGGTCTCTCTGACTCCTTTGTAAGACAACAACGTGCCGCAGCAAACTGGCTTTCTGTCCATCTTGGCCGGGCAATATGCGTAAAAGTCTGCAATCGCTTGTTGTAGTGACTACTGCAAGCCATCTTGCGTCCGGGGAGAATGTCAGGACGCGAGCACCAACAACCTCCGGCCCGTCTAGCTTCCTAATCTTGACTTGACCAGGCTCCGACGCTTTGGCAGACAGTTGAAATACTCGGATTCCTGCTGCGGTACCAAGGGCTAGCAGACTTCCGTCGTCGGCCAGAGCAGCGCATGAGATGTTCTCTTCACCTTGTAGAGCAAGTCGAGCTAACAAGCTCGGCGTACTATCCTCAGCCTTGTGTGGAATTCTGTATAGGCGAGCCTCTCGATCCCACCAACTCACAATCATGCGGGCTCGTTTCGAAGTGATCATGGGTGGGCGATGTGGTACGATTGGCAGTGTGCGGCTGTACTGCTGACCGTGATCCCGAATCGGTACAAGGACCGGGTTGGCATCGAGACCTTTGCGTGTCAGCTGGATTATTCTAAACTTATGACATCAATCCTCACCTCCAGAGACAAGAACATCAACACTTCTGCCTTCGTAGACGGCCATGGCCTTGATATCGTGCTCGTGATATCGCCGGTGCGACAGGCGATTCCACTGATTGCGTGCCTTCTTCCCGGCAATCTTTTGATTGTACACCACAGTGCGGCGATCTGTACTCCCACTAAAGAAGAGATTTGAGAACTGACTGACACCAAGACTAAGCACATCTGCCTCATGAGTCTGCAGTCTGTGCAAGCTAGAGTACGTTTTGCCGTCAAAGACGCGAACCTCGCCCATCGAGTCTCCTGAGATGATATCGCCGTTTGGCAGAATTTGAACAACCCAGACCAGCGTCTCTTTCCCGCGTGACTCTTTCTTGGAGACGAGTGAGATGCTGCGTATCTGGGCTCCGTTTCTGGCATCGTACACCCGGATCGCCGAGTCCGCGAAGCCGGCAACGACAACGTCTCGCGTCTGGTAGGTCACGCTGAGCACTCTTGCCTTCTTGGCGGCAGCTCTCGAGAGATTTCTCCGGAACTGGAGTTCGTTGTCTTCCGTAGACAAGATCGCAAGTGTTCCGTCGGCGCACCCGACGGCCAGATCTTGACCGCGAAACTCCCCGGCCCGGGCTCCATCACTCGAAGGTGTCCATTTCGGCTGCGCCGCTAGACACCATACTTGGCTGAGGCTGCCGCTGGAATGGCGCAGCGGAAGTCCGGTGAGCAGGTTCCACTCGGTCACAGTACTCGAGTAGCCTATGCTGAACAGCCGCAATTGGCCAGGCTGAGTCTTGCCATTCTCGTCCTCTTCACTCGGCTCTTGCGTCCAGGCGAGACCCTCGACACTGCGGTCTTTCCCGCCATGCAGCGTGATTTCGTGGAACCACGTGCCTTTCGCCGGATTCCAGACTTCGATGTCGCCGTTCGCGCGGCCTATGGCGAGGCGTAAGCAGGAGGGGTCTGGCGCACGATCCTGTGTGCCTTTTTTCGTTGTGATCGGACCCGGGCTGGCGTGCGAAAAGGCGAGCGCATTTATGGCAGACGGTGGGTAGGGTATGAAGCGGGCGCGGTGGATGTCCATGGCTACCTCAGAATTATTTTGACTGAGGGATTGCAGGAGACAGTTCTGGCCATAGTACTTTGGTGGTGTCTATGCGCCAGTTGCCACAAGTCAGATGTTAGCAGGCTGTATGTGTAGCTCGTGGTGTATGCGCATCATCAAAAACGCGATTCTATTCCCGAATTTTTTCTTGAGGTTCGGCAAAACTATGTTCCGTGCTGCCGCTAAGTCGACCTTGGACTTCGGTAAACGATAACGAGACCGCGCGATAACCATCCATGAGCCCACAACTGAGCTGTATATGTCTCGTGTGATATTGTAGCAGCCCCCAAGAATACATGTTCAACAAATCTCGCTAGGTGCTGGGCTGGAGAAGCAGATACGCGAGAAAGCAACTCAAGAAAGGCCAAACTTGATCAGTCCCCAGTCTGTCACACCTATCTGGCCTGCCCGCTGCAAGACCCATCATCCCGTGGGCAGCAAGCAATTGAAGATTATCGATGCGCGAGATCTTTGATGGAATCATCGTCGATCAACCGCCGCAAAGTGCCATCTAATTTAAGCCGCCTGGTCACTGTCACAGGACAAAACGTCCAACCGAAGTCAAGGCCCGGGCAGAGCGGAGCCACAAAGTCTGGGCGCAGTTTCGGCCGTTATTATATCACGGATGCGAGCGAGCACAGATGCCGCCATCATGGATTAGAGTGCAAGATAGAGTTAATGGCAATACTGTACGCTGCAACCGGCTCATCAGACAATCAAATTGATTATGATTGATTACCGCGTGGGCGTTGGGTCGAGCTGGTCGGGCGGCCCACGTGTTTAATAAATGCTGCGAATAAGTTTCAACGGGCCGCTCTGCGTCCCAAACTATGAAGGCCAACCTCAGCTTGAAGTTGCCTTCTTGAGGTCGTTACATAATGCACAAATAATGCCCAGCAACCTTGGTGCAACCCGTGGTTTTATGCATCACCAATCCCCAGAATCACGTCAATTCTACTCCCTCTCTCCCTAACACAGCAAAACCTCAAACACCAAAAAAAAAAGCCCCGAGCCCGACCAAACATCCAAAAGGGCAGACTAGACCCCGCTAATACCCGCAAACTCCGTGCAAGGGGGGGCCACAGTGCACACAGGTTTTCGTTCCTTCAATCATCATCAAAACGCGTCAATAGGATGGCATGGAAGAGGACGGGCATCATCATCCCAAGCCCGCGCCACAAAAGCTAGCAAAAATGCAACCGCACGTACGAAAGACGCGTCCCAGAAAGCAAACCGCGCTAGAAATCGGAGCGTTCTCGACGCGTTCTCGTTTCGTTTCGTGTGGTATCGTGTCGTGTCGTGTCGTTCCGCTGCGTGCCCAGACCGTCCGTCGGACGGGGTGTTGAACACACAACACATGTGCTCTGGAATATCAAACGAGTTTCGGTGTGTGTGTGTGTGTGTGGGTCTGCGTTTTTTTCTGCTTGGCTATGCTGCGCTACGTCGTCGTGGCTACACTCCACTACGCACGCTACAGTAGGTACACTTATTACTAACTGACTAACTGACTAACGCGCGCAAGCATCATGGGCAGCCGGCAGAGGCTATACTAGGACTGGGGTTGCGCAGGTTGGCGACATCCATCTCATCTCATGATCTGACGATGCTCCATCTATGCCCGGGGACCCGCTTTGTGCTTTGCGCTAGGAGCAGAACATGGGCGCAGGGGAGCATGGGGTAGGGTATGTACTAAGCAGGGGAGCAGCGTTTGATGGTTTTGTGCATTATGTATGACGCAACCTGGACAAAAATATTCCATTGTACATATGGATACGCTGGCTGCGGTGACTACGTATATACATGCACATGATGCACAAAAAATTCTCTTGTCGTCATTTCTTCTTCGTTTTTTTTTTGGTAGATGAGTGACGAGTGACGAGTAGAATACTTTTTTCGGCCCTGGTTGGATTGGTTCAGTTCAGACTGGTTCGGTTCGGTGGGTGCCCGGGACTTGAGAATGGATGTTTGGGAAGCGGGCGGGTGTAACGGGAGGTTTGCTTGCTTGCTTGCCTGTCTAATAGACTACTTGTAACAAACGCCGAATGAGAACATGTTTGCGTTGCGTCCATCGCACACGAGTTGCCCGAGACGGATAGCCAGCGCGAAATGCACTCACTCAACGGCTTACCTATGGGTGACTGACTGACTGACTGGTTGGCAACAACGTGGTACGACGCTGTCACGTTTCTTGCCCAGTCAGTACATACCTACAGTAACCCATCATGTGGATATCTCGATCAATCATGCCATACCAGCCCATTCCAGGCCAAGCAGACAGACAGACAGACAGACAGGCCAGGTCTCGCCTCGCATCGCCGACCAACGACAAATTACTCCATCAAGCCAGGTTATGAGCCCTGGGCATAGCATGGGCATGGCATGGTGCATCCGAGGCAGCATATGCCATACCATACCATACCATACCATACTACGCCCAGTAGAAGAATCACAAGCCAGACGAGTGTGGATCAGCACGACCTGGAACATCACACGCGACAGACAGCAAGACCAAACACGCGACAGCAGTAGCAGTACCATAAGCCTGCAGCAAGTCCCAAAAGCGCGCCCCAGTGGAGAATACCACATTACATTACAAGGGGCTGTGTGTGTGGGTGCTCTGGCAACTAACTCAAGCAGAAGACTTTCGAGATTTGCATGTTTCATGAGCGCGAGCGCGATTGTGTGCACGCACGCGTACACGCGCGTGTACGGTGGAGACGCGAGCGCGTGTAAAACCACCCATTTAGCAGCAGCTTGCTGCAGGGGAAGAAGGAAACACGTAAAAAGAGCTTCGGCGGCCTCGTGTCTCGTCATTGTCATCATTGTGCAGGACCGCACGACGCGTTTTTTTGGAGACGAGATTGGGGGATGGGGGATAGTGTATAGTGTAGTATAGCGGACTTTGGGGGGTATATATGTATGTATGTGTGAATGTATTTGCGGGTCCGCTGGGGAGAGGCGGGGGGCGTATTCTTCTTTTTTTTCTTTCCTAAATGTATGTATGTACTGTATGTGTGTCTTGTCTCATAATATTTCCGTTTTGGAGCGATCTAGTGCTACGTAAGAAAGGCCCGAGATGGGACGAAGGGGGACGAATGAATTCAATAGCAATCAATTAATCAATTCAATGAGGCTTTCTTTGCTTTTCTTTTTTCTTCTTTAATTAGTGACGCTTTTAAGACCTCATCGGATAATTAATTAGCCACGCGCAGAGGGGGGCGGACGGGGACGCAAGAGCAGTTTTGTATTACCATGCCATACTAGTCGTGATGAACGAGTGGAGATGGTACGATGGCTTTTTCTTTTTTCTCTAGAAAGGTTTATATATATATATAGTGGCGAGACGAACGAGGCGTGTCGCGTGTCGCGTATGCATGCATTTAGTATTCAGAAGATATAATACCATTTACCCTAGCCTAGCAAACACAACACGCGTTTCGGTCTTTTGGGGGGGGGGGGGGGGGGGTCGTTCTAGCCGGGAAGACCCAGCAAGCTGTGCCGGATTAGTAGGTATCGTGAAGTGCAGCGAGCCCGGTGGTCGGGATGGACTGGGCTGGGCTGAAAGCACCAAGAGCAGCTAATTAGCTAGAGGAAGGAAAAGCAGGCAAGCAAGCAAGCAAGCGTGCGGAAAAAAAAGACAAGCAAGGGTTCGAAGCAAGATTCATCCCATCTCCTCCTAGTAATTAGTGTCTAGATTGCTAGATCAAGATTCATGGCTAGCTAGCTAGCTGGGCTGGCCGCGCGAGCGAGGATTGGACGGATGGTGATGGGATAAGTAATTATCCAGGATATATCAGTAGGTAAGCAAGCAAGCAGTTGGTCGCGGCACAGGTAGAGCCTGTCTGTAGAGTCAGTAGTAAGTAGGTAGTAAGTAGTAGGCATTAATTAGTATTAGGGTTCCCAGGCGATGGCATCTGATAAAGTTACCGGATTAGGAGCAGCTTGGATGGTGCAAGTGGGCGAGCTGGTTTTTAGTATGAAGTCGTGGCAGCCAGTCAGGATGGGCAGGAAGCGGAGAGGATCGATATTGGGCATGACGGATCATGCAGATGGAAGGGGAGGGCTATTTCGTGGATTTTGATGATTGGCGTGCACGTGTCAGGCAGTCCGGGTACGCGAGGAGAAAAGATAGGAGCGTGTCGAGAGTGTCGAGCGTGTCGAGAGTAATAGGTAATTAATAGTAGAGATGGATGATAAGATCAAGCAAGCAGTGCAAGCCGTGGCACGCGACATGCACCAACGGACGACCAGAGATGTCGCGCATGTGGATATTGAGGAATGGGCTTATGAGGGATGGGGCATGTAATATATATGCTGAGCCATAAGCCACTAATTACTAGGTAGACAGTCGTGGAAAAGTGAGCCAAAAAAAGAAAGATGCGAAGAATTTCGAGGGATCCATGGATTGAAGAGGAGCTAGAAGGGCAGAGAATGGCTAGATGATACCCGGCCTCCTTCCTTCCACCTTTCCACGCTGGAACCGACCGGTCAAAGGGTCAAGGAAGAAAGAAAAAAACTTGGATGGCCAGTAAGAAGAGATCAGACGGGGGCGGAGACAGGGCATGTCGCGTTGCTCTCGTGTGTGCAGACGCGTGAGTGTATGCAGATGTAGCGTGTCTAAGAGTAATAATTAAAAAAAAAGCGTGTATGAGGCGGCGGCGTAATATGCAGAGAGAGAGGCGAGAGTCGGTCAGTCGTCGGAGGCGGAGACAAGAGCTGAGAGAGAGAGAAAGGGCGCCAGTAGATTAAGCACAGTGGAGACTTCTTGGGGACCAGCGGTGGAGAATGATTCTTGTGCAGTGTGTTTCTGACTTCTGACAGAGGAGTAAGTGTGTAATATGTACAGTATGTAGATATATGCATGTAGTAGAAGGAAGTGAATGGTAGATATTAATGATAGGCAGAGAGAGAGACTGGAGCCTCAGCAGCAGTCTCAGCAGGCCGGCAGATTAGCTGGCAATTGGCTGGCACTCGGGCTGGAACTTGGCTGGCAAACACGCCGTGAACAGGGCTCCATTGGCGGGCGCGCGGGCGGTCGGAGATGGGCAGCACCAGCACCAGCACCAGCACCAGCACCAGCAGCAGTAATTAGCAGCACCAGCCAAAACATCGTCGTGGCCACTCTCAGCCAGTCAGCCAGTCAGCCAGTCTCAACTCTCTCTCCCCCGTCACCTGCTGCTGTAATCCCCCTTGACCTTTCCCCCCCGTCGCCCTCCCCCTCCCCCCCCCCGGTTTATCACATTTGGGCCTGGCTGTTCTGGGCGGTTTAGGCGGTTTGAGGTTAGCCAGCGTCCTTCGACCGCTCTCCCCAGCCTATCACTGCCCGTCCGACTCGCCTCCACACGACCACTCCACCTCTCTGGCCCTCTCTGGCCCTATCTCCCCCTCTCACCATCTCTCACACACACACAACTCTCACACAACTCTCTGCACCTCTCCGGCCAAGGAGAGGCCCTCGCTGGCTCCGTAGTCAGCAGCGGATCAAGGTGCGGGAGAGAGAGCTGTGCATTGTACTGTCTGTGTGTGTGTGCACCACCCACTCTACTCCAGTTATGGACCACTAGCCAGGAACCTCTAATCTTCATACCAGCACCAGCCTTGTTCATCCTCAACCTTCTTCCTGTCTTCCTCTCTCCACTCCCATCCTCCTCGTCCTTTTCTCCCTCCCACTCTCAACCTCTTCTACCCACCCACCCCCTCCCCCCTTTGCTCTCACAGGTCGGCTTCTTGAGAGTTGTCAGAGAGAGAGAGAGAAAGTAGAAAGCTGTGTAGAGTCCCCTCTTTCGGCCTCGCATATCTCTGCTTCTCCTGCTTCTCAGCCTGATCCTATCTCTGCCGTCGTCCGTGTGTCCCTTTGCTCGTCTCACAGGGCCTCGACACTCTTCCACATTCCATCCCTTACCATAAATCTCCAATCTGAGACTCTCCTCCCTCTCTCTCGCTCACTCCTACCTACCTGCCTCATCGTCAAGCAAGGAGGATCTACCATCTACTGCTCCCTTGTCCGCTACCATTGATCTCGTTGCCGGAACTGGAACACAGATCTCCACAATCTTCATTCCCAGATACAGCTTGAGAGATCTAGTGACGAGCTTTTCAGACTAGGCAAAACCATCGTGGTAAGTCATACTCCCCATATCATCTTCATTCCAATGGCCAGACTACCCCAATCGACCCTTCCCATCCAATCGATTTCGACCCTCTCCCAAACTGGCCAGCGAGAACCTACCCCTACACCCATTGGCTTTCCAATCGACGCCAGCCACGTCTGGGATCAATACATGATCGTACGGCCTACATCCATGGTCCTTCGAGTCCAGTTTGCTGCGAATCCATCCCGTGCAATAAGCATTTGGCTACCGTCACCATACCCTCGGCTCCATAACATACCCATCTCAACTCGACATCTATACAGGGTCAATAATGTATGCAGTCTGTAAAAGCAAGGGAGACCACCTATTATCTCAACATACCTCGTTCAAGTCCCTGCCACTATCCAATTCAAGCAAAGCAAGACCTCACAAATCTTCTTCCACTTGTGAGCTAAGACCTCCAGTCGAACGTAGCGGCCAATAAATTCCAGCTGTGAGACACGGAATAGAGCATAGCTGGAGAACAGTAAAAGTTGCAGAATATCCGAGTCAAGTCCAGGTGTGTCAACAGGTGAAGAATTCCTCAGCCTGCAGCTCCTCCCACATTATTCCAAGGGAAAGGCCTGTATCCCCGGACCCTGAAGCACGCAGAGCGGGTGATGCTCAATTGTGACGACTCGCACTAGGGATCTGCAGGAGTGAATTCCAAGGTTTCATGCCTCATTCCAGTCCGCCCGGCGACTACCTTTTCCTGCCTGGCTAGGGCGGACAGTGCCTGACACACGGACCACTCCAATCTTTTCCCCCTTCACCATTGACCTCGGACTTGTTCTTCCACCTCTTGCCATACCTCTTTCTTACCTCACACTCTTTTTTTTTTCTCTAAAAAAATTAATAGCCTTTGCTGACCTGTCACTCTTTACAGTTTGTGTCTTTTCCGACTCCTCGTCGTCGTCTCTATCGGTACATCGGCATCACACCAACACGTTGAACCGGGGGCTCTCTCTCTGGTATGCTCAGATCCCGGCAATCCTCACACCGTTAACTGACCATCATCCCTTGTTACAGACTCCAGTACATTACTTCAGCAGGACCACGTTCACATTCTCGTGATCCTCTACCCGGATGACATAGGTGGACTCGTTAACTCGTGCTCTACCTCGGAAAACTGTGCCCCACTCGTCGTCGGAACAGCTGCTTCTTTTTAAGAGACATCCAATCTTCGCTCTACCTTCACATGCAATTTGTACAGGTGCCAGCGTCTATTTCGTCAGCTCGAAATTCTTTTGTCGTTTATATTACACACACTCTTTAACATTAATCTTCTAATTACCAGGTGAGTATCCATTCCGCTTCAACGTGGCTGTAGCTCTATGCTAATTCATTGCCTTTGCTTCCAGACTGTCTTCTCCCTACCGCAGCGAGTCGACGTCTTCATTACTTCCAACTACATACGATCTTTATCCCGGACAGTCTCGACTGTTATTTCCAGACTTGGGTCAACCAGCCTATCACTTCGTTCAAACCAAATCTGTCATTCCAGGAGACCTGACGTCCTCTCTTTCATTCTCAAACTCTTCTCAACATCTCACTCTTCACCATGGCCTACCAACATTCAAGATACGGACAATGCGATAGTTTCTTCTACGAGGAGGAGGACAGCTTTCATGCCATCCAAGCACAGAAACGGGAGCAGGCCAGACAGGTTGCACGGCAACATCAGCGTATCATGGGCATGCAGTTGTCTCAAACGACTGCAGATGAATATCAGGATGACATCCTTGCCCATATGGAGAAGATGGAGGCCGACACCATGCCAGACGTCAATTCGATTGACATCCAGACCGAGATCCAGTGGTTCATGCGTCCCTACCTACTCGACTTCCTCATCGAAGCTCACATGGCCTTTCAGCTATTGCCCGAGACCCTCTTCCTCGCAGTGAACCTGCTCGATCGTTACTGCTCCCGTCGTGTGGTCTACAAGCGTCACTACCAGCTCGTCGGATGTGCTGCCCTCCTCATTGCCGCCAAATATGGTGACAAGAAGGACCGAGTGCCTACCATACGCGAGCTGAAGAGCATGTGTTGCCAGCTGTACGACGACGAGATGTTCACCCAGATGGAATGGCACGTCTTGGCCACTCTGGACTGGATGATTGGACACCCCACCATTGACAGCTTTCTTCAGATTGCCCTGGCCGAGCTGGAGGAGGAGCGTGAGGTCGAGCATCTGACCCAGTACATCTGCGAGATTGCCCTCTTCCACCGCGAATTCGTCTCCGTCCTCCCTTCGATACTCGCCAAGTCCGCCTTGACGCTGGCGAGATGTGTCCTCAACCGCTCGACGAGCCATCAATCCATATGGACTGGATCCTATGATCAGACCGTCGTCGTTGCCCTCTCCACGCATCTATACAACCCTTCGCAGGTGGTGGCCCGCAAGTACGCCTCCGGCCAGCTGTCGTCAGTCTCGACCGTCGTGGAGGAGTTCCTTCGCAAGCAGTTGCAAGCACAAGCCATGAAACAAATGCACGCTCCACCCACGCCCACGCTCACTCCAGTCAACGACCAGACCCCCGACCTCTACCACAGCCCTCACACCCCGCAGAAGAATCACCAGAATGCAGGGTACGGACAGGGCGCCTGGACCCCGCCAGATACTCCCGATGATGAAAGATACGCCCCGAATGACCCAAAGATTCATCAACTACACCCCCAAATCGCCTACCCAGCCACACCCACCAACGAATTTGAGTCTATGGCCTACAGCGATCCCTTCCACCAGACCCAGCAACACTTTACCGCCCAGTATGTACAGTAGCCTTTTATGTTTTCTGGCATTGGTCAAAATATACGGCTTTGACCACAGCGTCGAACCTTGTTGTTGTTGTTACCGCTGCTGTTGCTGTTATTGCTGCTGTCGTTGTTACCCACGCGTCCGTCATCCACACAACCTTTTCAGAAAAACTTCCGAAAAAAAAACTCCCCAAAATTCCCTTTGTCAAGACTCCTTGTTCGAGCGTCATAGCGTTGCCCATTTTGCCCATTGTCCCAGCATTGTTTGTGAGCGTTTTTCACCCCCCCTGGTTTCACAAAAAGGTACCCGATCCGCATCACATTCTCGCAGCCTCTCCCTTTTCCAGCGAGCCCTTCAAAAGGAGTCGTTGCCGGATTGGGTTAGTGCGCGTTACCCCCGAAATTGTACAACCTTCCGCGATGGAGAACTTTTCTCCCTTTCAACGCACACACGCTCTCGTAGCTCTCGACTCTCACGGGTCGAGGCCAGAGACACCCCTTTTTGTTCAAGTCGATGTATATTCACGGCGGGTCCCTCTCTCATCGGCGGATTCAGCTGCACGGAGGAAAAAGGCTGGCATATACACACACACACACACACACACACACAAATCACCCTGTCTCAAGGTTTTACCAAAAAAAAAAGGCGCTGTCATCATGTAGTGTTGGTTTATTCACTGGAGATGGGAAAGTGCTCAATGTAAGGCATCATTTTTCGGATCCGGGACTGCACTCGATGAACGGGGGCTGCTTTCTTGAGGAACCAGGACAGGACAGGTAGTAGTAGTCGAATAACAGAAACTATTTAATGGGAATCTTGCAGAGCTCCCGCCAATGCTTGTGGGCTTGTGTTGTCTGTGTTGTGTTGTTTTGTTGTGGGTTGTTGTAGGTTGTTGTCTAAGTCGTGTGCAGAGTGTCATCAAGGCGCGTGTTGTGTCCGCCCGCCATGTTCCGACATTGTCAATTTGTCAAACCTCCATCATATGTGCAGCTTTAATGCAGGGGGGTTTTGGTGGTGCCTGCATAGGTCTACTAATAGGTATTATCTACCCATCCATCTCCCACTCGATCATGCAGGTCATTCAATCAGTCATGGATGCAGCAAGCAAGCATGGCATGGCATGCATACATGCATTATTACATACATGCACGGCTACGCGGGGAGGAAGCAAATCTTCCTAGGTTATGTAATTACAGTATGTAGTGTGGTGGTAATTAGTGGGTGTTATATCGTCGTTTTTATCGTTGTTTTTATCGTTCGTTCTGTTCTGTTCGTTCTGTTCGTCATCGTTCGTCCCGTTCATGCACACGGGACTATCGATGTTATGTATACATATATACATGGCGTTCCACGTATTGGGTAATTGGTAGGTAGGGGTCGTGTTGTTGTGGTTTCATGTCTTTTGTTATTTGTCTTTTTGTCTTTTTTGTCTTTTTGTCTTGCGGGTTTGCGGGTTTGCGGGTTAGGCCTGGTCTGGGGTTGGAGTCTGGTAGAGCGACATATAAATATACATACAAGTAAACACAAGCCCAAGTCCAAGGCATGTGAATATGGGAATATGAGAACATGCCGATACGCCACTCATCCATTCCCATCTACCGCGTCTCGCCGGCTCTCTGTATCGTTTGTCGTTATCGTTTTATCACGCTGCGTGCCAGGAGAAAAAAGACAGAGTGTGTGTATCTACATACATCCAATTGATATAATCGGTATCTGTCTGTTTTACCATTCTTTTTCCCCGTCAATTCCAAAGATCATTACCTTGGTGTGTTGTTGTTTGCCCCGCCTATTTGGCATGAAAAAGTCAAAACTTGCGGGATAAAGCATGGGGTGTATGGTATGGTGGGACTTGGGGTTGGAATTGGAATTGGAATTGGAATGTCTATTGTATGAATCTACCATTTCTAGTTTGCTTCGCTGCTATAAACTACTACCGCCACCACCGGAACGCCGTATGCTCGTTCGCTTGCTCGTTTGCTTGCTCGTTTATGAGGTCTGCTTGCTCTGCTCTGCTCTGCTCTGCTTCAAATTACCCATGCAATCGTTGTAATGCCTGAAACTCATACATACATACAACAAGGCATGATCCGTGTGCTGGGTTCTGTACACCTACCTACCTGCCTGCGTGACCTGGTCATTATATCTCTCTTTGAGAGAGGGGGACGTTAGAGGAATACTTTCGACTCGTGGCCTTCTCCTTCCCCTTCTCCTTCTCCTTCCCCTTCTCCTTCTCCTTCCCCTCCTCCTTCTCCTTCCCCTCCCCCTTCTCCCTCTCCTTCCCCCTCCCCTCCATCATCTTCCTCCTCAGCAGGCGGCAACTCAAGCTCTGCAAGCGCGTCACAAACCCCTTTCTCAGCCCCGACCTCCAACTTCGTCGTCGTCATCGTCTTGTTCTCCACACCCGCGCTCGCAAGCGGCCAGCTGGTCGTATGATGCAGCCGCATGCGGGCCTGGTATTCCGCGAGGAGGAGGGTGGTGGTGGGCTTGAGCTTGCTGGACTCGTCTGGTGTTATTGGCAGTGCTGGGGTCGTTGGAGAGGTAGAAGGAGGAGGAGGAGGTGGTGGTGGGCCAGGGTGTGTGCTGATGGATTGTCGGTCTGTGTGTGCGCGGCTGTACTTTAGGGTCGTCGGAGTGGGGTGAAGGGTGGTGGGTAGGTTGTTGATGTTGTTGTTCACAAAGCTAGCATCCTCGGAGACTGCCCTTGTTGCATTCTCGAAAGCCTGGGCATGTCCCCGCTGCGTACTCAGGACCTGTCCAATATCCCCGTCCACACCGGACAACACGCGGATGTCGACCAGCGAGACAAGGCCGTCCGGCAATTGCAGTCCCGCGTCAAAGCACCTAGGTCCGAACTCAAGCTTCCTCAAACCATCAAAGTTGACGCGAAACGGCGTCTTGTCGACGACGAAGCCCTCGAGGTAGAGTTCGCGGAGGGGCAGCGCGGAGCCGTCGCCTGCTCTGCCGGCTGCGATACGCGTCTTGCGGATGACCATGTCGTCGAGGTACTCGCCGTGGCCGAAGTGGTGGTGTAGGATGCCGCGGCCCTCGTGGCCGTGATAGGGGGGGATGTCTTCTGCTGTAGTAGTGGTGGTGGTGGCGGGCTTCACGGTCCAGTCGTCTTTGATCTCGGGCCAGGCTGTGCCGTCGCGTATGATGGGTGGGGATGCCATACGCAGTTCCAGACGGTGCATGTTAGGGTTCAGCCAGACGGTCTCCCATATGATGCCCTGGTAGGACTCGCTCATGCCGCGGATCGCGAGACGGTGGAGGTTGCGGTAGTTGCGGAGGGGCTTGAGGTCGTGCGGGTTGAAGAAGCGGGGTGTGCCGTCTTCGCTGGCGGGGAGTTTGAGGTCGATGTTGAGGTCTTGGATGGTGGTTGGGATGGCGGGCCATAGGTTGGGGGAGAAGGGAAGCTCGGTTGCCCAGCTGTCTTCGTGTCAGAAGGTTGGCGGTTCGTAGGGGGGGTGATGGGGATGGTCAACCTACATGAGGTTCTGGAGTCCTGGGAGCTTCTCCAGTAATGCCTTTAGCTCGCTGATGGCTTCTGGTACGTCTTGCTCCATGGCTTGCGCCAGTGTTTCTGGCCGCACGGTATGGTCGTCGCTTTTGTTGACCAGGATCCAAGATCCGTCAGAGTCCTGCGGACGGACGGTCGGTCTGTCCCATGACCCATGCACAATGACCGTGTGTACATTCAGGTCACCTCCGTGCTCGGCGCATTTCTTGAGATGATGGGCGCAGTTCGAGCTGAGAGCCTGGAGTGAACTCCAGTCCTGCTTGCCCGTGGAAGTCGAGACCGTCCAGCATGCCATCGCTGCATTCGGTGGGAGTGGCAGAGTGCTTGAATCTCGAATATGCGCGTGAAATCTCTTGCTTCTTCCCGTAAGTCGTGGAGATTTGACGTGTGTTCGTCGCCCAAAGCCCCAGTAAGTTGCAGGTTTGAAAAGGGATGATGACATGAGGCTGAAGACTAGACGCGATAAAGAAAGAGAAAAAAAACGTTGTTTGTAACACGGGAGATTGGAATGTCGTCATCGCTGACATTGTTTCAAATTGCATGTCAGATGTCTAAGGTTCGCCTCCAACGCGAGGGACGGCGACTACACGCCAAGAATCCAAGTGAATGTAGAGATTTGTGAACTTACCTCAGGCTGGACTTCAGCAGTGCTCAGTCCGCACATTGGCGGAGGGAACATTCTTGTGTAACATCACAGGGGATACCCCTCCCATATATGAAAGAGCAGTACCGAGCCATGTTACCATCTCCTGGCCCTTTGTGAAGACAAAGGATAGTATTAAATGTGAAATCACGGGTCACACGGCTCGATATTTGAGGTTGAAAGCACAAGACTGCCTATCAGCCAAGTACTTGGACTGATTTGTATGACGGATTGCTCAATAGGCTCATCCATGATTTAAGACTGAAAAATGGGCGAAGGGCGAGGTAATGGAGGGCTACGAGGTGGTGGATATAAGATCGTGCATACAAGATAGTAGATAGTAGACAAAAGGTAGTTAGATATTAATTAAATAATAAGAAAGATATTTAGTGACCGTGTGGAGAATCACGACATGTAAATGTAGGCCAGTCGGTCAATACTACGGTAATACATCCATCAAGTAATACGATTCTTTAGGGTCGCGTACCCAAGGAAATTCCAAAGAGGTTATCAAGTGTTTAGCTAGTCGGCTAGGTTCACTCCAAGAGAAAACTAGGCCGGAAGGAGTTAAGTCCGAAGTAATTACAGTCACGTGAGTACGCGTGTCTGCCCCGCAATTACTGCTTTACCATCGCGACTGCTGTACTCAACTCAACCTCGTCGCGTCACTTCTGTGACCAGGTAATGGAAGTAGTCTCATAGCCGCTCCGGCCATCATCGATGTGGTCAACAGTCAAATGTCGCACATATTCAATGAGAATGTAGCGCGTCGGGTCTTCGGCGAGGATACCGATAGTGGTAGCGGTAGTGAAATAGGAATCACAGATGTCGTCAGGAAAGAAGTAGGCCTGCCTGAGACGACTGATATCTCGCAATATATTGAAGGTAGTAGACGTTCTTGGTCCATCACCGAAAGGTCCTCACAGTTGGTGTCTAGATGTTGTAAACAATGCTGCGGAGATTTCGGACATCGATGAAGAAGGAGACAAAGTCGACTGGTCCGAGGACGAGGACGGCGCGGTGACGTACGATGCGCTCAAGAACCAGAAGGCGTTGAAACGGAAACGCGCTGCTGAACAGACACGTCGCGCCCGCGCCGTAATCAGTGCTGGCAGCACAAAGGCATCGTCAAAGAGCATCGTTGGGAGGAAGCCAAAGAGAGTCAAAAGGGAGAGGGTCCTAGCAAATTTAGATGAAACTGACGAGGACGAACTCCTGGACGAGACGCTGCCAGATTACATCAAGCAAAGAAAGACAAAGTTTGAGCAAACTCGTGCCAGGTTAGGAGAGGCTGGCTTGAAGCTGCCGCCAGTCTACGATGACATCGAGTTCTCCGACGATGAACGACTGGAGTCTCTACAAGAGAAGCCCAGGTTCGATCATATCAAGCCCGTGAGACAGTACGAGGATATCACCCTGCCAGCTTCCGCAGGTGTCATACCTGCACCTATCGCGCAATGGCTGCGCGACTATCAAGTCAAGGGCGCCGAATTCCTGCACGAACTCTTCGTGTATCAACGGGGAGGCATCTTAGGCGATGATATGGGTCTCGGAAAGACTATCCAAGTGATCTCATTCCTCACTGCAGCCTTCGGAAAGACTGGCGATGAACGGGACAAGAAGAGAATGCGGAAGGTGCAACGTGAGGGCGGCCAACAGGCCAAAGAGTACCCTAAAATCATTCTCATATGCCCAGGCGGTCTGATGGCAAACTGGCAGGATGAACTTGATCGATGGGGCTATTGGCAAGTAAGTCATTTTCACTTCTTGGGACACCATTAAAGTGCTCCCTGAATACTGATATCCACACCTAGGTTTACGTGTACCATGGCGCGACAGATGTTAGAGAGGCTGCGTTGCAGGCTGCAAAACATGGTCGAGTTGAGATCATGATAACCACCTACGCTACTTACAGGAAAAATCAGAGTGCCATCAACACGATCAACTGGGACTGTGTTATAGCAGACGAATGTCATCAGCTGAAGAGTCGTAGCTCAGAAATTGCCAAGTCTATGAACGAAGTCAATGCCCTATGTCGGATTGGTCTCACTGGAACGGCGATTCAGAACAAGTACGAAGAGCTCTTTACACTCCTGAATTGGAGCAATCCAGGCCATTTTGGTTCATTAGCGACCTGGAAAACTTGTATTGCAGATCCGTTGAAGATGGGGCAGTCTCATGATGCAACTATGCCACAGCTTGCCAAGGCGCGTAAGACGGCGAACTCACTCGTTCATTCTCTCCTCCCACGATTCTTCCTCCGCCGAATGAAGACTCTCATCGCAGACCAGCTCCCGAAGAAGAGTGATCGCGTGGTGTTCTGCCCTCTGACGAAGAAACAGGCGGAAGCTTACTCCAACCTTGTCAATAGCGACTTGGTCGAGTACATACGCACTTCCGCTGACAAGTGCGACTGCAAGTCAGAGAAGAAGCGTGGATGGTGTTGCTACTCGTATGTTCCTGAATTCGGTCCATGGCAGAATGCCGTGTTCCCTTGCATGATGATGCTCCAGAAACTATCGAACCATCTGGCTTTACTTCTACCCACGAGCGCAGATCCTGCCGAGAAACAAGCAAAAGACTTGGAGCATCTCAAAGACGCTCTGCCCAAAGATTGGAAAGAACTGTACCGTCAGCGAGACTCAATCATGAATTATGCATCGCCAACATTTTGTGGTAAATGGAGAGTCTTGAAAGCACTCCTGCAGTACTGGCATGCATCCGGAGACAAGGTGCTCGTGTTCAGCCACAGTGTTCGTCTACTTCGTATGCTCCACCTACTCTTCACGACTACGACTACGTATAATGTCAGCTATCTCGACGGTGCTATGTCGCTCGACGACCGGGCAAAGTAAGTGCAATGGACGAATGCTCGCAGCCACGGGAATTGACGAATTCCAGGGAGGTCAATGACTTTAACGCCGACAAGAACCAATTTGTCTTCCTCATCAGCACAAAGGCAGGCGGTGTCGGTCTCAACATCACATCCGCAAACAAAGTGGTCGTCTTTGATCCGAATTGGAACCCAGCGTAAGCTATTCGAATGCCAAGTGCGATATCATTTGACTTTGTTTAGGTACGATCTTCAAGCGCAAGACAGAGCCTATCGAATAGGTCAGGTTCGAGACGTTGAAGTCTTCCGCCTCATAAGTGCTGGCACTATAGAAGAAATTGTGTATGCACGCCAAATCTACAAGCAACAGCAAGCCAACATCGGCTACAATGCCAGTAACGAGAGACGATACTTCAAAGGTATCCAGGACAAGAAAGACCACAAGGGAGAGATATTTGGGTTGCACAACATGTTCACCTTCAGGGATGGAGCCGTCGTCCTTCGTGATATCGTGAACAAAACGAACGTGGCCGAGGCCAAGGAAGCTGGGGTCCAGGCGGTGGCAATGGATCTTCAAAATGATGCTGAAGATGATGACTTCATCTACGGCGCGGACGGGAAAGAAGGGGCAGCGATGAGCCAGTTGGCAGAGTTGATCCAGAAAGACAAGATTGGTTCGCAGGGGGAGAAGTTCGAGGACAAGAAGCAGCAGCGAAAAGCCGATCCTATCTCAGCAATCCTGGCAGGAGCCGGCGTGGAATACACCCACGAGAACGCCGAGGTCATCGGGTCTTCCAAGGTCGAATCCAAGTTGAGTCGCAATGCTTTGGAAATGCAGAACGATACCGACATGACTCGGAAACGCGCATTTGCAGCCTCGGCGACCCAGCAGGAAGACGACCATGACGATATTGATGACGAACTTGAAGTTATAGGGGAGCGAAGTTTCGCAACTGAGGACGATGAGAAAGAACACTTGAACATCAGATGGAAATACCAGCCTCCTGAGGATGTGCGCATCAGGCAATTCTGCACCATGGCTCAAACCTTTGGATTCAAAGATGCAGTCGAGTTTGCTATCGGGGTCGAAGGCTGGACGCAAGAGCAGCGCCGGAACTGCCTCGAGCGTTTTTATCGTATGCGGAGGAATAAGGTCTTGAATTAGGAGCTTTACGCGTCCATCATTTGGTATTCATTGTATATATCGTTATGAGATACCCCTTCTTGAAGTACCTCCAATAGTGCACAGCATGGCCACCACCTTACTCATACAGTCTACATCCACCCACTCAATCTTGATTCTGTGCCATTTCTTCCATAGCTGTGACCGCATTCTCCAGCTCTCTTATACGCGGGCCAACCCGCCTCTTTACTTCTTCCGCAAGACTAGCATCTGAGCCTTCCGTCGCCGCCTTGTACTTTTCTTGCAGTGATGTGAGGGCTTCGCGTGCCGCTTCCCGGTCGTCCTGGGCGTACACCGACACTTTCTCGGTTTCCTCGGCAGCAATCTCAAACTATACAGTCCACCCATTTAGCATTTGACCGTGATTGAGACGGGAATGGAATTGGGGAGGAATATAAAATACCTCATCTCGGGCGTACGCATACAGCTCTTGTAGCTCGTCCATCTTCTCGTCTACCTCGCTCTTCCCCGTGACAGCCTGTCTGGGTGTGCTGATACTGAACAGTCTTTGTGTTTGCTGGTGATGCTGTACTGGTAGGGCAGTTGGCTGGGGGACATTACGCCCGTGTGCAAGCCGTGTGATTGTTGAAGGTCTCGCACATTGTATGGAGGCTAGTCGGAGTAGTGGTCGGAACATGTTGGCGATGCGTGCTCGGAATACAGCCTTCAGATGCGGCGAGTGGGACTGATGAAGGATGTACAGAGTTGTTGGAGTGGAGAGATTATTGGTGTTGGTTCATGGAAGCTTCAGAAACGGCCTAGACGCCCAGGCCAGGCGAGGGTACCTGAGGCGTCTTGCACGCGCGCCGGGATGACGTCTAGACCCGTGGGGATTTCTCAGCCCTGTGTAGGATCTAGAGTGGACCCTGCGAGCGGCGGCGCCTGAGACTTTATCATCATCTTCATTCCCCCGGTCGACAACATAGTCGCGATGCTCTGCATTACTGCTACGAGACTTATACCGCGATGATTGTGGCTCTACTATTACTACTCATGGCAGCGTCGCTTTACGCCCTACGGCACTACCTCCCCTTGTGGGCGCAACCGAGTAGGAAAGATGAGTCGCAAACCATTTCCGAGCCCAGACATAGAGAGAATGGCCAAACTACCAGCCCGGGACGTGAATCGAGTAAACAAGGAGAAGACATAGCAGACGTTCCACGCATTACAAAACCCGAAACCACACTCCAAGGCCAAGAAACACCCTCTCCGGAAACGACCCCGAAAGCGAACGCCCGATCCGATACATCCATATCAATCCCCTCCTTCTCCCTCGACTCAGGAGATACCTCAGACGACGACGACGACGAAGAAGAAGAAGACAACCTCCCACCACCCTCCTTCCCAGCCCTCAACTCCGCCCAGCGCGCCTCCGCAACACCCCCCTCATTCGCCCTCCCATCAACAAAAGCAAGCCCACGACAGCCCACGCTCACCCACTCAACCCAATCCATGCCACCCCCTCCACGCCCCTTTCCAAAGCCACAAACACACACAAACAAAACAACCTCCCTCCGCATACCCACAACCGGCCCCCTCCCCAACCGCGGCCCCCTCCCCAACCGCAGCCCGGCGCAAGCAAGCAGCAACCTAAACCTCCCCGTCAAACCCCCACCGCCCACCCCCAACGCCCGCCAAAAAGTCCTCCTCGAACCCGGCCACTCGCCCCTCGACTGGGCCAACCTCGTCAAATCAGGCAAGAATCTCTCCGGCGTAAGCACGCTCACGCTCGTCACGCCCGCGCAGCTCAAGCACAACAACGGCCGCAAGGACAGGCCGGCGTGGTCGGTGTGGCAAGGCAAAGTGTACAACATCACGCCCTATCTGCCGTTTCACCCGGGCGGTAAAGGCGAGCTGATGCGGGCGGCGGGGAAAGATGGGACGAGGCTGTTTATGGATGTGCATCCGTGGGTGAATTGGGATAATATGCTGAGTGAGTGTGTGGTGGGCATTTTGGTTGGGGAGAGTGAGGGTGCTCGGGGGCGGGTGGAGGCGAGTTTGGATGATATGGATTGACTGGCTGGCTGGCTGGCTGGCTGGCTGGCTGAAGGAGGGAAGTCCGTTGTGGTTAGAGATATACCCCCGCCAACTCCCCAACCCCACAACTTCTAAATAGACATGTGGATTGGTAGAACGTGGGCATTGTATGCCGTGGTTAGCGAACAGGCGCTTAGTTAGATATCGATCAGTTCGTTACGTTGTACCTGTCTTGGTCCTTGAATACTGCCGGTCAGGGTATATATATATCTCTTGCGATGTAGTCTTGAAAGGTAGCACCCTCCCATAACCTCGAGTCCATCCTCAGACCCCTGGAAGCAGTAAAGAAAGGAAAACCTTTTCACACGAACCCGCTGCTTAGGTTAGTTATCATGTGTAGAAACTCGATGAATCTGTTATTACTAGTTGCGGATATACGAGTAGCCAGCGCTCCGAACATGCACATTCCCGCAAGTCCAGGTACTCCATCTCATATATACCCACCTGTATACGACAAAGCTTTTATGCGATACCATCCACCCAAACACCCAGATTTCCATGCATTTTCGGTAGTCCCAAAACGCCAACACCTCACATAATGGAGTCTCTCCACCACCCGTAACAGCATCCTCACCTGGTGCTATCACTTCCTTGCCTCTCCATATCCACACTCCCACCCAGAGAACTCAAGAAGCTACTCCTGCCCTCCAGCCTCTCCGTATTCGTGTTTGTGTTCACACTTGCGCTGCCGCGCTTATAACTCATGGCGCTGTCTCTCATCGTACCGCCCATGCCGTGCCCGGCGAATGCACTAGAGCTCCCAGTTCCCAGGCCTGGCGGCGGCGTCAGAGTCCTACTGTTACGCTCTTCAGTCCGATTGCGGTGTCTCTCTCGCAGTTTCTTGATCTCGCGCAAACGGTTGCGCCATGGTGAGATGGACTCGCCGCCCTCGCGCACAGCCCAGACAAGGGAGAAGTACGAGGCGTTGAGCGCGATGAGCCGCACGCAGGACGCCAGGTGCCGGCCGGACACAACCTTGGTCACAGAGGCAGGTGAGGTTTCAGGAAAATCTGGGCGCGAAAGAACCTGGATCTTGTAAAAGCGGCGCGAGGCGTCAGGGTCAGATTCAAGTCGACTGTCAACGAAAGATGCACGTGCTTCGGGTGTGATGACAATAACAACGTAGTTGAATGCAGATGCGATGGTGTCGAACTTATAAGGCAGGCCACTGTTGTTGAAGACCACAGTCACATAATCGTTGCCGATATGCGACTTCTTTGCGGTGATGGTTTGGTAATCGGTCGGGTCCGTAGGCATGAGGGTAGCAACGTGGAAGACGATTTCGGTACAACGGTCTCGCCAGATGTACGTGAATTCACCGTGGGTGTCGAACTCGCGGTCGAGGCCTCCAGTGTTAATCGTAGTGCCCTTTAGACGGACCAGCGTGCCAAGGTCGTCGAGGAACGATGTGTAATCGGGTGAGCCAATAACGTTATTAAGGATCTCAGTTTCGTTGGTCTGGCCGTAGCCAACATATACGACTCCGACTTTGAGACTGTCAACAGTGGGATTGCGGTCAAATGTTGTGATCGCTCTGCGGGTTGCATCGTCATCGGGGAGCGAGATAAGTTCGACTCTAATCATATCCGGAGTCGGGTAACTGAAGGGCGATACAATGGTTTGCATTATATCGTCAGGCAAGATACCAACATATGATGACGTGTAGAAAGCTTCTGCCGCCAGACCTGTATTAATGGGAACTTGATGACGAGGTGGTCTCGTAAGATTTGGACGCATTGTGAGGTATCGTGTACCAGAAGCCCTTCTGGTTGTGACTTGAGATGCACCGGTCCTTGCCGCAGTCTCGACTGTCAGCAAGCTGTGGCCAACAATCCAAGTCTTTTTGGATACTTCACCATCCTCCGGTCCGGCGAATGCTGAATCCGGCATCGTTTCATCTCGATCTGAGAATGCGACACGTTGCATGAGGTCAATGGTAACCTGCGCCTGCTCCTCCATCACCTCCTTTCCTTGATTGTCAATGTGTATGAGATTCTTCGTGATCCAAGCCATGTGATTTCGCCTGTCTTGAAGTCTCATGGAGAGAAACCAGAACGCGATAGCTTGATATGCCAGAGCAAGTACATACTGAGGAAGGTCATGAGCAGCAGGAATTTCTTTGGGCTTTGCTTCCTGCTCTGATACGGTCGAGAACTCTTGAAAAGGACCACTGTGGCGCAAGGTTCCATACCCAGAATTGCTATTCCTTAGGGTATTCGAAGACGCCAGATTCTCGCGTTGGTATCGAACGTGTTGCAAATAGCGGAAACTGACGCCAAACACCATCTTGAAATCATCCTCGCGGAAATTCTTATATAATTCTGGCATTCTTGACAGAGCAGTCAGAAACTCAAGAATATGCACAGCAATCTGCTGCTGCGTAACTACTTGGGACATCTTCTGGATGATACTGTCAAGAGTCTTGCTGGTTGATAGAGGAAGCTCATGGCAACATATGGTAATGGCATGAATACACCATTTTGACGTCCGATCCCATGAGCCAATTCCGAAGAGGAACGTCCGGACCAGCTCATCTTCTTCACTTTTTTCAAAGAATTGATGATAGCTGATAAGCACTGTCAGCGTGTAGAACAGGCACACAGCCACGTCAGCCTTCTTCAGTGATGTGTAGCCCGGGGGCTCTTGGAAACTTGTAGCGCGCAACTGCTCACAGAGTACATTCCTGACCATCTTTATCTGGGGAACACAGCCCTTGAACAATGCTCGATTGGTCAACTGTGGGCCAAAATGAACCAGGACGTAGCTATATATCTCCCAATCATCATCACGTTGTATGATGGATATGAGAAGCTCAAGCCAGAGTGCGAGCTTGAGAGTCCGTCTGGCGTCTCGAGCAACCTTTGACTCTGGGTCAATATATGCAAAGACTAGGTGGCTTGCAGATGAACGGGGTTCATCAGGCAGACCCCTTGGACCGGGATACATCCAAAGAGGAGCAATGGGTTTCGCTACACGGCTTGCGACGTTATTCGGCCGCGATGTTTGTCTAGTAAGCGATGAATGCGGACTTGGAGATCCTGCAGCTCTGTATAAGCCCATGGGCGACTCTTCTACTGCTCTGTTATTGCTAGAGTCATCCTCTCTAACCACTGCTGTCTCTGCTGTTCGGCAAAGTACAAAAGCGATATCTTGTCCTTCTGATGATGGACTGATCAGTATCGCATGCCGCGCATCGCTTCGAAGACGAAACAAAAGTTTGAGAGCACTGACTCGAGCGTCAGTCTGACAAGCGGTTGAGCCGGCTATATACAATAGCAAGTCGTAAAGATCTTGAGTCTTCTCTCCAGACGTATTCAGCGTTCTTATAAATATTCTTACGAGGGCCTTCGTCACTGTGTTCGATAGGGACCCCATATGTGTGGTATCTGGCGCCTGCATCGTCGTCCCGGAACTCCAGCTAGTGCTCGAAGACACGTTTGTCAATGGTGCGCTATGGTCGTCAAGAACCTTTCGAAACTGTTCAAGGATATATCTGAACAAGCCTATATCTGAATTTTCGGCCACAGAGACAGCGAAATTTGCCAAGACCTCGAGCACTACGAGATCTCTCTCGGAAGATATGTTGTCAAGGATCAATTTTGCGTACTCTAAAACGGTCCCATCAGCATAGACTCCCTCGATCGTTTCGTAGCTATCGATGAGTAATTCCAGGACCTGGATGCGAAGACGACGCTGTCTCGTCATATCTGTGAAGACTCTCTCCAAAAGGTCTCTGCTTGCGTTCTCCCATTGCGCATTAGAGGGGTGTAGAAGCCTTTCTTCGGCATGCTGACGAACCAAAAACTCCATAGAAGTGTGGTCAAGTAAATGAGCGGATCTCATGAAGAGTTTGAATATGTATTCCCGTTGCACGAAATCTGCGCGCAGGTGAAGGCGCTGGAGATGCACAAATGTACGCATCAGAGACTCTCCAAGCATATCAGGCTCACTGGGAGTCCGTTCTGAGGTAGAAAGAGGTTCCGAGGGGTAAGGGGAAGAAAGTCCCCGGGAGCATAGTATGAGCACTTCAACCAGGTCACTCCAATCATCTTCCTTCAACAATTGCGATGTCAGAAATTGATCAGTCAGTATGAATGAAACTAGTTCCAGGATGTCAGACTCTAGTCTGCGATGTTCCACAATGAGTGATGCCTTGAGGGCGGGAAAAACATCGCTGAGGTAGAGCTTTGGCAACCCATCGGACCCATCAGCTATCAGTAGGCGTTGCACAACTCTTATGGCACCCCTAGAGACGTTCTTCTGTGCACCCTGTGCAATTCTAATGTCTCGAAGAATTTGAAGAAGTGCCGTGACGGCCGAAGGACCAGCGTGTGATTTCAGTAAGTTGCTCAAAGCCCTCCAAGTTAGATCTTGCACGTCTTTCAACTGACGATAAACATCGCAGAACAACTCCAAGCAAGGCCTCAGCGATTCCGCGGGGATCTGGGTGTAGGTTACGAGCATGTCGAACAGCGTCACAGATTTCTCGACGTCCTGAGAGCGAGCAGTCTTACGACAGATCTTAACAATTTGGTGGAGCAGGAGTGCTATGTCCTGTTCGCGGAATATCTTCGAATTGAACCTGACCACGTCAATGACAAACTGAAACATTCGGTCAAGCTCATCGTCCGGCCGATTATCGGCGTTCGTCAGCGGACCATCCTTCCTTTTCCGATTCTCTCTTCGCGTGTCTTTGTCTCGGGCAAAGCAGTCTGTCAAGGAGGTACCGAGAAATTGTGCCACAGATCCCTCGAATGATTCTACATTGCGTCCTCCATGCGTAAGATCGACTAGCGACTGAATCCGCAGGTCGAAGTCGGACTTGGTACGGTTTCGCGCTATGGCCTTGAAAAATATACTTCGTTCTAGCGGTGAAAGCTCGGAGACCTTCACGCAGCTTTGCAGTAATGTGTATCCAGCACGTATTGCTTCCGGGTTACCTCCGAGATCCAGGAGATCGCTCGCGGTTGTCCAAACGAGGAGGACATTGCTAACCGGGTATTTGGCTAGTATTCCGCAGACCTTGTCTACTGCGGCCAGTCGTTCAGGCAATGGTCGCCCAGATCCAAGCTCTTCAAGTAGTGGTGGCAGCTCTGGCGGACCCCCAATAATCTCATTGGCTTGCACCGAATTCCTTACGAGTACCTTTCCATGCTGCTGTGCTATGCTGTCTATTCCGTTATCAAATGTACCAATTTCTCCGTTCCTTGAAGGCTCAGCTTTCGCTTCGAGCGATGACGTGACAGTTTCAGACTGTGTGAGGGCAGTTGGAGTGATTAAGCTGGAGGTGATGGGAGATGGTGAAGGCGTGTTTCCGGGACGCCTTCCGGTTAACGTCCTGAAGGCGCTGAAGAGAGCGGATGAGGGTGATCTCCGATTTGGTTCTGATGGGACGTCATTTGGACCAGAAGACATAAGTCTTACTGTATTAAATGCAAGGGGAGCGATCAGAGGCTTTAGAATAATTTGTCAGTCTTATAGTCACAGCGCACAAGTTCGACTCACGAAATATACGGCTATGGCAAGCGCGGTTTATTCTCCACACAGCTCCAGTACTTCGGAAGCTGAACAGGAAGCGGACACATTCAAGACTGAACGCAATGGCATGAGGATGAAGCCTTGGGACGTATATACCTTGCGGAGGTGCTGCGGAGGTGCGGCGGAGACGCTTGCGATGGATGAAGGCCCGGGCAGAGACAGCTATATATCGACCGGGTGGGCACCGTTGGGCAGGCCTGAAAACGAGCTCTATCAAGCGGCGACGGTCAGGCGCAACAAAGCGCAGCACAGGCTGGCGTGGATGGTCGATCAGTGGTTTCACCTTGTTTGCAGGGATTGTGGTCAGGCTGTTGAAGGAGAGCTGTCAAGGAGGGTCCGCCAAGAGTTCAACTTCAACCCCAGAAGGTTGCGACCACTGGTTGCGCTAAGGCCATCTGAACCACTACTCACCCACTTTTTACATCAAGCTTCACTCTACGAGGCGCCCCAAAGTACACTTCCACCCTTCCTTTCTTCCCTCCCTCTTCCTCATATACTGATTCCAGTTCGACGATATGGATCCTCAACCTATCGCCCAGCTTCTCCAGCTCAGCTTGGATCCGAAGCAGCACAAGCAAGGTACAACCCCACCAATATTTGTTTACATGTGCCATAAAGCTTTGCCTATATCGGCCCAATCAAGCTGACGCTTGGTACTCCTGCGTCCTATGTAGACTCTGCTAATCCAGAGAGCACGAGTTGAATCCCGACTGACCACTGGTGTAGCCGAAGCTTCGATCAAGCAAAAAGAAAGCGAGCCGGCATTCTCGCTGGCTCTTCTTCAGATCGTAGCATCTGACTCCTTTCCTCTCCAGAGCCGCCTGGCAAGCTCGTTATACTTCAAAAACTTTGTGAAGCGCAACTGGACGGTCCGTAGTAACCTTGTATAATAAACAAAAAGCATACAGATTCGCTGACAGAAGTGGGCACAGGATGTAGACGGAAACTATAAACTTCCTGAAGATGAAGTTGTCGCAATCAAGAGAGAGCTCATTGGGTTGATGGTATCTGTGCCATCAGCAATGCAAACGCAGCTTGGAGAGGCAATTAGTGTCATCGCAGATAGCGACTTCTGGGAACGATGGGATACCCTTGTAGACGTATGTGAGAACACAAGCTTGCGATAACATGACTGACGAGAAGGAGGATCTTGTGTCGCGCCTCACCCCGGACAACACCATAGTCAACAATGGTGTGCTTCAAGTCGGGCATTCCATCTTCAAACGCTGGCGACCGCTCTTTGTTTCGGATGGACTATTCACAGAGATTAATCACGTACTCGGAAAATTCGCGACACCTTTCCTTACACTATTAGCGGTAATACGATCCTTTCATTTGGTCTTACCCAATGACTGACTTATGTAGAATACCGACAGATTGATCACTGAGAATCAAAGCAACAAAGACGTCCTTCAACAACTCTTCACCACATTGAATTTGCAAATGAAGCTTCTGTTCGACCTCTCGTGTCAAGATCTACCTCCTGCTTTCGAAGAGAATCTTCCTGCCATTGTAGGACTGCTCCATAAGTACCTCACGTACGACAATCCTATTCTCCACACCGACGACGAGGCCGAATCAGGCATTCTGGAGTTCGTCAAGTCAGGCATATTCGAGGTCCTTACGCTATATGTCCTAAAGTTCGAGGAAGACTTCCATACATATCTCGGGCAGTTTGTCCAAAGCTCATGGCATCTTCTGACGAATGTGGGCACGGAGACGAAATATGACATACTGGTCAGCAAAGCATTGCAATTCCTGACGTCCATCACACGGATCAAGTCTCACGCCGAGGCTTTCAACAGTGAGGGCACACTTGGTGAAGTTGTCGAAAAAGTCATCTTGCCCAATTTATCGCTGCGCGAATCAGATATTGAGCTTTTCGAAGACGAGCCAATCGAGTTCATTCGACGAGATCTGGAGGGATCGGATAACGACACACGCAGACGTGCGGCTACAGATTTCCTTCGACAGCTTATGGAGCAGTTCGAACTTCTCGTAACTCAGGTCGTGACGAAGTATATCAATCATTATCTGTCCGATTTCTCCTCGAGCCCCAAGAGCAATTGGAAGTCGAAAGACACTGCAATCTACCTGTTCTCGTCTATAGCAGCAAAGGGTCAGATCACTGCGGCCGAAGGTGTCAAATCTGTCAACACGTAAGTCCACTGTTTCGTATGCGTTCAAGGAATCTAGTCTAACTCTATTTAGCAACGTAAATGTACTCCAATTCTTCTCCACTAACATTGCAGAGGACTTGACGTCCGATGACACCCACCCAATCTTGACTGTGGATGCTATCAAGTTCGTTTATACATTCCGAAGCCAGATCTCGCGAGAAAATTGGCAACAAGCCTTTCCCCTACTGGTCAAGCACTTGGGCTCTTCCAATTATGTCGTCTACACATATGCCGCAATCGCGGTGGAACGAGTGCTCCATCTTGCTGCAGAAGACATGCAGCCCGTCATAGCGAGATCTGATATCACACCACTAGCCAAGGACCTTCTACAGCACCTCTTTACACTTATTCAGAAGGATTCCGCACCAGAGAAACTTCAAGAGAATGAGTTCTTGATGAGATGTGTTATGAGAGTGCTGATATCCATTAAGGACGGCGTGCTCCCAATCTGCGACATGGTCGTGCGGAATTTCGTCAATATCACCAAAGTCATCAGGCATAACCCCAGTAACCCGCGGTTCTACTACTTTCACTTCGAAGCTATTGGGGCTTTGATCCGGTTCGCAGCACCCTCGCAACCCGATGTGCTTGAGAATGCTATATATGAGCCATTCGCAGCCATCATCCAAACTGATGTCCAGGAGTTCGTGCCTTACGTCATTCAGATATTTGCCGCTCTTCTTGAGGCCAATCCTACCCGCCCACTTTCAGACTTCTACAGGAGCCTCTTGGAGCCGATCTTAATGCCGAACTTCTGGGAATCCAAAGGCAATGCTCCCGCTTTGGTTCGACTATTGACAGCCATGATACCGCGAGCTGCAGACGACATTCTGAAGAACAATCAGCTCGAACCGATCCTGGTCATATACCAGAGCCTTATCTCCAAGAAAGCCACTGATTCGCAGGCGTTTGAGCTCATCGAATGTGTTCTTGGAACATTCCCGTCAGCTGCATTGGAGAACTATTTGGTCTCGATTGTGCAACTCATGCTACAGAGACTGTCGGGTTCGAAGACGGAATCTTTAACACAGCGCTTTATACGATTCTTCCACTTCATCTCTGCCAAGGATGATCGAGGTCTGGGTACCGACTTCTTTATCCAATTGACAGACAAGATACAGCACGAGTAAGTCTATACTATTCGCCACAGAAGAATTATCAATAACCTTCGTAGTGTCTTCAAACAATTGTATCTCTCCATCATCCTTCCAGACACTCAGAAGCTGTCTCGTCCGTACGACCGGAAGACTGCCGTCGTGTCATTCACCAAAATCCTGGCAAACTCAGAGGCATTCATTACCAGGTAAGGAAACGCAGTCAGCATCGACTGATCCCTAAATGCTAACGCAACCAGATATCCCAAGGGCTGGGCATTGACATGCGAAGCACTTCTCAAATTGCTCATCAATCCACCGGTTCCACCAAAGGCCGACGATATGATTCCTGACCAAGATACAGACGACGTTGGATTCGGAGTCGGCTTTACCCCTCTGAGTACATGTCGCAGACCCCCTGTCGATCCGTATCCTGAAATTTCAGACATTAAGTCATGGGTTGGAATTACGCTGAAAGATGCGGACGCTCGGCATGGTGGACGCATCAGCAAATGTGTTCAGGAACGACTATCAGAACAAGCACGTGAGACGCTTGTGGCGTATATGAGCGGTTGAGAGGCCTTGAGAAGCAGCTGATTGATCTAAATGAGTTGAAATTCCGCCTGACAGGTGTAGACGCATGCATGAGAATAAAGGAATACCCTGTAAATTCACAGTCGACGTGACTGATGTGTAAGTATATTGGTAAGATTTCGTCTTCACGATTATAGAAGTCCGGGCGTGAGAATCATATACGGGCGCGATCGAACTATCGCCCATGCGTATATTCACGCAGTCTTATCCCTACGCTTCCTACATTCACCTTCTCAATTACAATGTCCAAGTGAAATGTTCCTGTCTCTTTGCGAGACTAGTTAAGAGTTCATCCGGGGGTAGCTCCGACCCTGCTTTCCCATATTAAACATTAAGATACTTTTGGACAGTTCTCTCCCTACTCCCTCATTCTGGATTACTTTGGAATCTCACCCCAACGATCACAATCCTGGTACTTACTTCACTGTTAAGCTCATCGCAAGACGAACAAGTCCCACAATGACTACAGCCTTCCCAAGTAGCCTAGAGGCGGCAATGCAAGTGGCTACCTATATACTGTCTTCTTCAGTCCATGTACCAGCGGACTTTCCCGGTAGGCTGGTGCGCACTGAAACCGCGACAGGGGCAGTCAAAATCAGCATTATCTCAACGATGCGGCGAGGAAACCCGATGGTAAATTGTGCACCTGCTAGTTGATGTAGACACTGACTCGTTAAACAGAGACCTTCTGGAAAAGATAGCGATGACAACACCCAGACAGTACACCACATGCCGCACTACCAGACTGCGCGCTTACACCAACCAGGGCTCATTGCCAGTTCAATCGTATCGTTCACCGCTGATCCATATGTACTCATATATTGACACCAATTCTGCAATAGGTTCCAGAGCAAGCTCATGTCGGCCTGATGGCGCTGCCACGTGAGTTACGCGACGAGATCTACTTCCACGCACTTGTCCCCTCGTATCCAGTCAAGATACTTCGTGCCCACAACCCACTTGGCCGCCCTGGTTCCACCAATGATGGCACTCGATATAACGTTAACCTCAATCTCACGATGATCAACAGCGTAGTCCGGGACGAAACCCTGCGAGTCTTCTACACCCACAACAGCTTCACCTTGCCAACACTACCATGCCCTCTTTCTCCGCTCTTCAAATCGACGGTTCGCGCTGTTGAGATCTTCTTCAGCAATGCCGACAGCCCGCACACCGAGCCAGCCCTCACCCTCAACCCCGACCATATGGTGCTAACCCTTGACCCGATTACGGGTTTGATCAGCTACCAGGAGCCAGACGAACTATATGAGGCTGATCAGATCCAAGGTAGCCGGTTCCTGAACTCGGCTTGGAGTAGCAAATTTGGCGCTCTGCGGAATCTGATCAGTCTCCGCAGCATCACCATCAATGTCCAGAGCTGCTTTTGGAGGGATGGGCTGACTCGTGCGGTGCGGACAGTGGTCAGCATGATGCTCGGTCATGTTCTCGAAAGGGGGAAGAGGGGCATGGGAGGGTGTGATCTCCACATCGAAGGAATGACCTCTGCGGAGGCTGATGACATGGAGTTACGGTGGGCGGAGTAGGGGCTGTCATGTACTATCATGGTCGATAATCCCGAGTGGCTAGTATCATATCACCAAGTCCAGATCCATCGCGGTACTAGGAAAACATATGATAATCTGAAATTCCTACTTTTCTCCTCGTGTGTGTGTGATGTATGGTTGATACTTCGCAGTGAGTGACCAAGTTTTGAACGATGTATGGCACAATACAACTTGCTTTGTGCTGGTATTTCATAATATCCCGGGTTGAGCATCTAGTATATCTGGTAGAGACATGATGATGATATAATTGAACAATTATCAAATTCCACATGACTAGGCACGTATCAGTGGTTAAACTGTTTGTCCCGCCAGCTACATACTTAAAATTCACTATAAATTGCGAGAATGGGTCGTTGCCAGGTCACAGAGCATCTAGTTTTCGGCTTTCCATCAGCCAGTCTACAGGATCTATCGAGTTATATATTACACAAATAGGTACATTAACCCAGCAAGGCTCCATTCTCACCCAGCCCATCATTCCACGGCAGCATAACCTGATTTTCATACCCAGGACAACACCTCACCTTTTCCGGAGGTTGGTCATCCCACACGATCCTCTCTCCCTCGTCAACCATCAACCATCGACTCACAAACCCCTTGGACCCCTTCACCTTACGCGCCCAGTAATCGCTATACTCCACATTCACACTCGGCACCACCGCAATCCTTCCCAGTCCCGCAGCCCACAGATCCTTCGCGAACAACGTCGGCTCGCCCTGCACACACTCTCCCGGCGACGGGCCTCGAAATCGCACACGCCGCAACACATCTCCGCGAATCGCGACTCCGCCGTTCCAGCAGCTAAACACCTGAAACGGCGTGCCAGACTCCAGATCCTCGCGTGCCCGTGCATTGGCCGGGAAGAGCTCGTTGGCGTACTCCCAGCTGCCGTCAAGGGGGATATGGAAGAAGGTCTCGCCGCGCATGTCACGTGCGATCCAGACGTCGTAGAAGGTTGGCGTGGGTCCGACGAAGGTCCAGTCCATGCCGCAGGTCATGCTTGCGTGTTGGTAGATGAGTTGGTGGGTGAGCTCGAGGATGTCTTCGGCGCAGAAGGCGATGTCGTTAAGGAAGAGGACGGTGGTGCTATCAAGCGTGCCGGGCCTCTCTAATAGAGGAGTGAGCGCGAGGTTGCGTAGTGCAGCGAGCTGGGCGATGCGGTCGCCAGTGTGTGAGTCGATGGAGCTACGGACGAGGTGGTATTCGAGGCCGAGATGAGAAAGGGATTTCCGGAGAGCGTGGAGGATTTCGTAAGTACCGTCGTGAGAGTGGCCCTCGACAATGGAGAGAACACATTTGTGCGGCCCAAGAAATTCGACTGCTTCAATGATGGAACTGAGCAGTCTGGGTAAGATAGAGATGCTGTTACGAAGGTTGAGAGCGAAGAAAAACTTGTGTTCTGACGATGTGTAGAGGTATGTGTAGCGATCTTTGTCGGGTTCGGGACATTCTAGCATAGAGAAGAGATTGGATAGTCTTGGTTCCATGATAGCTGAGACATAAGCGGGCGCAATATCCAGGGCCGTCTGATTGAGTGGCTGTGAACCCGATCCGATTGCAGGGGTGCCGATGTTGATAATGCTGGATGGAGCAGAATCTTGAAGTTTGTATAGCGAAATCAAGATACAGGCGACGAGAAAAAGAAGGATTCTACCACGGTGGCGTCTCGGCGATCGCCATCTCCACGAATTAGATGAAGACATACAGGCGACATACCGACCGTATCGACAGATACATCTATTTGGTGATCTTGATGATGACCTTTTTCGACATTGAATTCACAAAGTTCCCGCCCGGATCTGGTTTAGGGGTAGAGTCGTGACCAAATAAACATATCAGGATCAAAACTTCTTCACATGTGATTTTTTGATACGCCACAAGGTATGACGTCCGACGTCTCCTCGTGTGCGTAAATACCTCCACAATCTGCTCAGCTCGCGAGCAATCAACAGCTCCTAACCAGAACGTTTTACAATAGTGACGCGATCGCTCACCCGGACGTGTCCTCCTAGAAACTCTCACGGACTCTTCCAGCATGGCCGAAAAGTACATTCTCAAGGTCACGGCCGGCCCCACCTACGACGAATCCACGCAACACGACGTCGCTGTGAATGCACCTGAGCCCGTGAAGATTGACACCGAGAATCTGACTGCACAATTAAACGTGCGGATACAAAACTACCGTGGTCTACCCAAAGGCTCGCCATCCACTTCACCCTACTTCTCGCACGAGACTCACAAGTCCGACTTATACTCGATATCCTTCACCTTCACACCCAAGAAGACATACACGGGCGACGAGATTGTGTTCGGCAATGACTTTGACCATCCGATCAGAGACAGGCTACCATGGGGCTTTGGGACGGCGTTCAACTTTGTGAAGAAGTGGGTTGACCCTGGGCTGTATGGTGATCCGTATGCGGATGAGCCGCATTTGTATGGGCCTCTTTTGAGCAGTATTAATGTGCTGAGGATAGGAGAGAAGGGTTCAAAAGATGTGGATAAGATGGCAGAGAAGAGTGGCGATAAGGTGGACGGTGACGTAGTCGTCTTCGAGGAGGGAGCGGAAGGCGATGGCGCGACCGTAAGAGAGGAGCAGGGTATCCCAGAGCAGAGTGCTGCACGGATGAAGCACTTTTTGGGAGAAGACACAAGAAAAGATTTCAAATTCGAAGAGGGCCGGAGTTATGCCTGCGATTTCTTCAACCCCTACCTAGACTTCAACGGTAAGGGACAAGGTCTCCCATGGTCAACAATGGCGCGTGCTAACAGATTTCTTCAGATTTCTCGCTGAAGCTCCCGGTAATCACACTCTCAATAGTTAAACATTGGGATGGCCAGCCGCTGAGGTGCGTCTTTCTCCCACCCTCGCTTGCTCTTGTTCTTGCTTTTACACCCCAGTCGGGCTCTGCATTTTCCTTGCCACAACCCGTCTAACCCGCTAATCAGAACGCACACACTCAGATATGTCCTCAAGGATCGGACAGCAGACAAGCCCCTCTTCGTCATCATTCTTTCTCTCCTTCCGATAGATGAGCTTGGCGAGTCCGAGAAGGCAGACGTCAACACCACTGACACGGCTGCGGACTCGAATTTCAACACGAATGACGATGACCTCGACTAACGAAGTAAAGCATTTGGATACAGGGATCCCACATAGAGTCTCGATACCCATATAGAATATCAACTTAGATACAATGTTGAGATTGGAGATATGCTGCTTGTCTCACATTTTCAAGCCGCATAAGGGTCTGAATTTGGCCCTGCATACGTTCGAGACATGCATCACGACTTGCTTTAGTCATTCAGAACGCCGTAGAGACACGGAAATTGATGTCCCATGGTAAAGAATTCTCACAGGACCAGCTTTCTCCTCGTTTATCGGTATCATGCTCAAACACAACAGCCCCAGTAGCATATACAGTTGTCAGTCTGATCTGCAGGTGTATAGCTTACTAGAACCATATAGCCTGTAGGCCCTGCCCCGGGATTGAGGCATATTCTTGTCTACACCAGCAAGCTTCATCTTGATTACCAATACCACTCTCCTAGGCACATTCTTGACATGGCTCGCGGAATTGCCAGAGAGCTTTTTTCCGGTTACCTAACTAATTCAGTGAGTTCGGTTGAGCGCTCTATGCACATGTCCGTGGCCCCCTTCTCAAGGATCCGGGAACCACGCCAAGAAAGCCTTACACACTGATGAACTCATCTATATCAACTCGTTGATAATAGCTGATATGGCCAAAGTCCTCCCAGTACTGCGCGATCCGGTTTTCAGAGACCAGAATGAGCTGTGAGGTGATATACTCGTCTACAGGAAGTTAGCTTCTCTACATTAGTATTCATATCTTGAGGTACTGACCGTCCCGGTAGCCATGAGAGGCAATGTGACCGACGCTCTTCAACACACGAGCACCCTCGAACAGTTCCTCGGTTGCAATGCGTATTAGACCTTCGTCGCCTATGTCAGGCGCTATGAACGTATACTCGCCGCGCTGGACATTGATGTCTCCCGTAATCTTCACGGCCTCGAGCCGGCCCGTGTAGATATCCTCAGACTCTGTGCTCGTCGACGACGTTCCACCTCGCGAAGTTCTGTCTTCACCTCCACCAAACACTGTGGCACTCAGTCGAGTGTCCGGCGCTGTTTCATTTCTTCGGTCTTTTCGCTTTGCGAGACCCCGTAATACACCCTCTGGGAGGGGCTGAGGATCATCTGGTTGTAAAACCACCAAGAATTCACATCCATGGCCTGAGTAGTCACCGACCCAGATGCCGCGCCACGGTTTTTGCTTTGTCGGCGTATATGCTTCAACGGGAAGAGTGGCCCAGGCAGTTACTGTGTCTTTCACTGGGGGAAACCCACTGAAAGTGCTCATTTGCATAGACGTGTGTAGGCGAAACGTGCTTTCACTCATTTGAGACAAAGTCTCTGGTCTGTGCCCAGAACCGGAAAAGTTGGTAAGTGAATCCGTTCGACAGCGCTCGTTGGCGGGCAAAATGGCCGGTGGCCACATTTGAGAGCTGGGTGACATGACATGTGGCCATGGTTTGGCCAGCATGAAGGACGATTGCATATGAACTCTCGGTTCTACCTGTCGTTGTGCCATGCGGACTGGCTGTCCCAGTTTCGGTGATGCTGATGATCGAGCCCTCAAAGAAGCAGCATCGATATGGATTACCGGAGTTGTCAGATCAAGGTTGACTTTAGGGTCGAATCTGTGGATTATGACATCAGGTGCCCATTTCCAAAACTCGAAACTTTTCGGTCCGCGATCTGCGAAAAGTGTGTTTCCGACGATGGCTCTTGTTTGTGTATCATATCTACATATGATTAGATTTCCCACATACCGAGAATCCGAGAACCATATCTTTTGTCGCGTTAGAAAGACGAACGGGTGTAGCACGGTAAGTGCATGTCGGTATGAAGCAACCGATTCGTGATCGAAGTTTGTGGCGCCAGGAATGTTGGCCTTTATCAGTGGAATCCAGATCGTGTCTTTGAGTACGTGTGAATGAAGCAATCTGCAAACAAGAGCCGTCTGGACCAAATCTAGACTGTCCAGGAAGGAAAGGACGTTATCGATTAGTTCCGCAGGTAATGTAGTCAACAAGAGGCGATCTTGCGCTGTTCGAGACTCGTTTTTCATTGCACGCGTGAGTGAGTAGAAGTCAAATGAACAAGGGAGTGGCTTAATCGTATCGGCAAGAAAGTGACAGAACAGATTTGATACCGTGGACTACCTGTTGGAGCGACGGTGTATTGAAGTAGTGTTTGCCACGCGACAAAGAGAAGCCAAGCTGAGACCAGACGCTAGATGATGTGGAGACTCGGCGAGAGACCATCAATTGCCATAATTGTAAGGTGTAGATCAAGCTTCTAGGGCATTTCTGTTAGCTGGAGTTCAAAATGCTGGGCCCAAGTGTATGCAACTCGTTTGGGTCTTGGGTACAGGGTTAACGGGAGCACTAGGTGATGGTCGATCGGCGACATCCATACCTAGACAATACACACGACTAGGGCTTTCGTTCCAGAAGGGGAAGGTGCAGGCTATGATATAAAGTGCTGTAGTGGTCGTACCTCGGAGTTCTAATATGGACACTACAATCATGAAGATTCTACAGGAGACAAAAATCATGAGAGTGCTACAGGAGGCAAAAGAGGTGGTAGCGATATCGGATCTGGGGCTCTTACATGGTTTTTTGGTGCTGGTGCTTCTCAGTGGAATAAAGATGATTCCAATATCGAATGGACGAAAGGACAGTCTCTTCTGATATGGTCAGATGAGATTTTATACTGTCAAAGAGCAATGAATCATCGGGACCGAGTCGAATCATACATTATTAACAACTCCTGGGTTGGTGCCAAGTGAGATGCCTTGGGAAGCTATACTGTATTGGGCTAGAAACCATCAGCTTAATCGATAAGAGGTGGACATCACACAACATGACGCCACTGCTCACGCTTCTCCGCAAAAGTTCCTTGTATGCGATCGTAGCAATGATATGAGACTTATTTCCTTTCAATCCTCCATCGCCACACCTGAACGTCTGACATTTCTCTCTCTCCTTGTAGTGCCGCTTCTGTACATGCTTCTCTCCCAATTCGCTTTTCGACTGCTGCAACCACCACGCCTGATGCGACTAGCCCAAATGGCTGCTCATCTCTCGACCAGCGCCACGAACACCTCTGCTAGATCTGCTGCGTCTATACGCGAGATACCCAAGTCCAATGTATTCACTTCGCACCTGCCACCTGATGAAAAGTTCCCGACCCCACAATCTTCGCATTCCGCCACTCGTGAGAAGCTTGGTCCCCGTATAGTCAAGAATGCCATGTATACATTCATACGGCCCGAGGGCACACAGGATCCTGAGCTTTTGGCAGTTAGCAAAGCAGCGCTAAAAGACCTGGGAATTCAAGAAGACGACGTAAAGAGTCCGGACTTTTTGGACACGGTCAGTGGGAACAAGATCATAGCATGGGATGAGGAAAAGCAGGAAGGCGTGTATCCGTGGGCGCAGTGCTATGGAGGCTATCAGTTTGGCCAGTGGGCTGGACAGCTCGGTGATGGTCGTGCGATATCGTTATTCGAGACTACAAATCCAGCTGGTACGCGATATGAGGTGCAGCTCAAGGGTGCTGGCATGACCCCGTACTCAAGATTCGCCGATGGCAAAGCAGTGTTTCGGTCGAGCTTGAGGGAGTTTGTAGTCTCGGAGTATCTAAACGCAATCGGTATCAAGTCTACGCGTGCGTTGTCGCTGACATATGCCCCGAAAGCGAGGGTTGTTCGCGAGCGCATCGAGCCTGGTTCGATAGTCGCTCGATTTGCACAAACTTGGCTACGACTGGGGACGTTTGATCTCCTGCGTGCAAGAGGTGATCGCAAACTATTAAGACAACTTGCCGACTATGTCGCAGAGCACGTATTTGGTGGATGGGACAACCTCCCGGCAAAGCTTCCGGCAGGAGAGGTTGAGACGACGGCCACACAAGCAATCTCAGGGGTATCCAAAGACACCATTGAAGGTGCTGGCAAAGATGCTGAAAACAGGTATACGCGCCTCTATCGTCACATTGTCCGCTTGAATGCGCAAACAGTTGCATGGTGGCAGGCATACGGCTTCATGAACGGCGTGCTAAACACTGATAATACCTCCGTGCTCGGACTATCCATCGACTTCGGTCCCTTTGCATTCATGGACCAGTTCGACCCATCTTACACACCCAACCACGACGACCATATGCTCCGATATAGCTATCGCAATCAACCAACGATAATATGGTGGAACCTCGTCCGCACTGGCGAAGCCTTTGGTGAGCTCATCGGCTCCGGCGCGCAATGCGACGACCAGGAATTTGTTGACGAAGGTGTGCGCAAGGAAGCGGCAGATGAGCTAGTCAGCCGTGCGGAGAACCTGATTGAGAAGATTGGCGAGGAATTCAAAGCCGTCTTTATGGCGGAGTACAAGAAGCTGATGACGGCTCGATTGGGGCTGAAGACGCAGACCGAAGGCGATTTCAAGGAGCTGTACTCGGAGCTGCTGGATGCCATGGAAGCGCTGGAACTCGATTTCAATCAGACCTTCAGATGTCTCTCGGGCGTAAGGCTGGCTGATGTTGCGGACGACGAGAAGCGGAAAGAGACTGCGAAGGGATTCTTCCACCCTGACGGCGTCGGCGCTGGCAACAAGATCGAAGACGGGCAGGTGCGGCTTAGCAAATGGCTCGAGAAATGGTCGAAGCGTGTTATCGAGGATTGGGGTGAGGGCAAGGATGCAGAGAGGTCTGCAGAGATGAGAATGGTCAATCCAAAGGTATGTCACCCCACGAGTGATCCTCAGCCCATACTGATGCTCGAATAGTTCGTTCCCCGGTCATGGATATTGGACGAAATCATCGAGCGAGTCGAGAAGCAAGGCGAACGCGGCGATCTGCTGGAAGGCACGATGAAAATGGCACTGAACCCCTTTGAAGACTCGTGGAGCTGGGACAATGCCACCGAAGAGCGATGGTGTGGTCCGGTACCCAAGTATAAAGGGTTGACGCAATGCAGTTGTAGCTCCTGATTCTGAGGCAGCTGGGTTGTGTTTATACTGTAATGCCGTGAAAATACCAGTCTAAGATTGCGATAGTGCGGCTTTCTCAGTCTTTCTCATTACTCCTAGGCCGTGCCCATTTATACTGTAAATGTACGACCATATGGATGTGGTATCGATCTGTAGGTCAGCGTGTATATATAATATTATGAGTACATGATAATGTAGGCATGTGAGTAAATGACTACATAGATGAGTGTGACTATCCGGATGCGAGTACATCAAGTCCATCAATAATACACAACACAAGCACATCACCACAAAAGCCACACGTAAACCACACAAACGACAATCCTTAATACATACATACATCACCATAAAAGCAAATTAGAACTGCTACATCATTCAACTACTCCAACTTCCTCCCCGAACCTCTCTACCCCTCCTTTCCCTCAACCACTCTCCTCCCCCTCAACCCACTCCCAAAAATATATCTCTCCATCCCTTAAAACAAACAAAGCACCACGCGAACAAACATGTTTCACGCCCTCCCGAGCGTTGTCCATCCGCCCGGGCTATCTATTCGTCCGGTCCCAAAAAAAATCCTGCTATCCCATCCCTCCCATCGAATCGAGCATCATGTACATAATGACTAACTCCTACAGCCCCAGCCCTGAACACTCAAGCCGCCAAAGCCGCTCAAAGAATGAATCCTCCAGCCCTGAAATCCCCAAAACCCCCAAGTTTGTAACTCCTCCATCCCCCGTCGAGACAGTTCCTAATTCCTCCAGCTCGTATATTCTAAGCCGGCGAGATGCCATTTTGAGACACCTCCCCCCCCCCTCTTCCCCCTTCGGCCCCTTCTCCACCTAGGTCCATTTCTGTCCCGTGTACCTATTCTAGCCTGGCTATTCTAGTTTGGTTATCCTATTCGAGCCCCGCTTGGTCCCACCCAGCATCGGGCAGGGCCACGCAAATCCCGATTTAGAAACTAAACATCGCAGGGGTAATAATATAAGAACGCGTGTGGGGACAAAACGTGGCGAGATAGCTTCAGGATTGGGATCAGGATCATGATCAGAAACAGTATTACGACCAGGACCCACGATCAGGAACGGGATTGTGGGTTTGGGGCCTGCCTGCAGTAACTGCAGTCAGTAGTGGAGTAGGTTGTAGCGAGCCTATATAAAAGCCCAGTCCAATACAGTCAGAGCAAACCAGCACAGTGCTCCACAGACGTTATGTGTTGTACGCTGTACTATATACATAGCATATTCCCACCAGCACTTTGATAACTTGGGGGCCAGAACACCCAGGAATGAAGAATTGGGGGCTGGCTGCCATGCAGGGCACACGACTGTCATGTCACGGCCCAAGGCTGTCATGTTACGACCCAGGGCTGTCACCCATGGCGGTTGTCGCGGTTCGGGATGGACAGATGGATGGATGGATGGAAATGCCTGCCTGTCAAGTGCATACCTACCTACCTACCATGCATACTACGACCGAAGAACAAAAAAAAACAATCCAACGATCCTGCCATGCTTCAGATCGTAGGATGCGAATACATGACTGTTTCGGGCCTCTTGATAGCCCTGAACTCATACGACTATGTGTGCAAAAATAGTAGTATAGCGGGCCAAGACAGATATCACAATGAGTACAGAAGAAGACAGTAGGATATGGAGCATTATAGGATTGTAGGATTATAGGATGTATGAACCTTCATCCAGGTATAGATATATAGCACACGCGTATATGATAATGGGCACATAATAATAATAATAATGGGCACATAATAATGAAAACACAACAATGAACAATGAGTACACAGTGATGAACAATGAGCACATAGTAATGAATAATGAGCACACAGTAATGAACAATGAGTACACAGTAATGAAAAATAAGCACACAACAATGAGCATGTAATAATGAGCACATAATAATAAACAATGCTCGCACATAATAATAATGAGCACACAACAATAATGAGCATATGATAATAATGAGCACACAACAATAAACAATGAGCATACAACAATAATAGAGACAACAACAATGGACACAGAACAATGGACACAACAACAATGGACACAACAACAATGGACACAACAACAATG